AGGATAGCCTTGCGGACCGAAGTTGTGCGGAGGGCGGGGCTAGAAGAGGAGCACAGTGTCAGTAGGCATGCTTGTTCTGTTGGCGCGTGCAAACGCGTGGTGGGCGAGCCATGACGTTGGCCAGCTATCTGCACGGGAGAGCAAATGGCGGAGAAGTCAAACAGAGAGAATACATACAGAAGCCATGAGTAGGATCTAATCAAGGGGCGGAATATGAGAGACGAAGGCTTATAGGTGGTGATGAAGCGAAAAGGAGGGAGAGAAGGAGAAAGAAGAAGAAGAAGCAAAAGACAAGACGGCAAATGAACAGGGAGAAGGAAAGCTAAACACAGCGGCGAAGCAGTTTGGATGCAGCGAAACTCTTGGGGAAGAGTGTCACTGACCTGACGGGCCACAACAACCTGAGGCCGCGACCGCTTATGTAATCTCCAGGGGTGTCGTTGCTTCCTTGGTGCCTGAAAAGGATCATATTAACTACTAGTAATGCATCAGTGCAAGGGGTCGCCCATGGCCAATTAGCTAGAGAATGGGTTTTTAAACGACTTCAGTGGTCTTGTATCTGAGCTATGGCAACGATACCTGGCTTAGTAGTAATACAGCATATAAATCTTCACTTTCAAGGTTTGACTACCGTCGTTCTACTTTTTATTCACTGTTCGCAATGAAGGAGTTATAGTAATCTTCAGTACTCATAGTGTTACTCTCATGGCAAATCCAATGTCAATGCAGAATAAAATTTGACTTTGTACTGACAAGCGGCCTCACCAACACATTGCAGTGTCATAGCTCCTCTCTTTGCGTCTCAAAATCCTCTTCACCCAAAGTGTTCGGTAATTCCATAGCGCCAGGCACAGTGCTCCAAAGAGACCTGGGCCCATTCAAAGCCATCAGCGCAAAATGCCCACCCACGGTCGGCCGAGCACGACACAAGACGGGCACCCCGGGACTTGCCCCTTTAGCTGACGTGGCAACATAACGATCAGAAAAAGGCCAATTATGCTTTCCGTTGGTCATAAACGTCCACAAGTCTTCAACAAACTCATCCCGGGTTTCCAAGTCGAAAGTGGCAGCCAGCCACATATTCCAATCAGATTTAGCCCAGTCCTGACGGCTATCAAGAGGAACTCCATACTCTCCTCGGACCGACTTGAAAAATGCGCTGGACATCTGGTGAACCTCTGGAGAAAAAGTGCCAAGGTCAAGCAGTACATCTGGATATAAATTATATGGAATTTTCCAGGAGGCTGGTTTGTCCGGATATTGTAGCACGAAATGTGTTTTTTGTCTATCGGTTCCAAGCCGCTGGTTGAAGAAGAGGTCTGCACGCTCCTTGCCAATACGGGAGTACTCAGTAAGCCCCGTCAATTGGCCGAATGCCTTGATGCCCACTGCAGCCTTGATAGCCAAGTTCGTTTCATTAGCAAGCGGCCCTGCAGCATCATTGGAAGACAGCTGCTCCGCAATGTCAACACCATTGTCAACCAGGTAGTCCGCGTAGGGCCTTATGATATCCTGGTACTTGGCCACCCAATTCTTATCGCCGGTTGCGCGCACATATGCTAGTGCTAGGACCATCAAGTTACCGCATTCCTCAATAGGCATTGGCTCGGCTTGTTGGTTGTCATGCCCAGTAGCATTGGGGTAATGGGAGCCCATGTCATGAATTACATATGGCTCCCGCCAGCGCCCCGCTGCAAGGTATCTCATCATCGGCTCTAGCAATAATCGTATGTAGTCAGGATTCATAACGTAATAGATGGGTAAGGCAGGCATAATAACATCAACAGTATTGAGATTGCCATCGCTGGAGAGCTCTTTCACAAACGCCATCGTATCATCGATATCAAGTGAATCATTAGGAATAGTCAGATCAATAGCCCCATAAGCCTGACGGGTCGATAGGGTAACAATGTCCGCATACTTCTGGCCTGCGATTGCTTTGGCTTTAGTAGACAGCTCTGAGTCAAACTTCAGCGATTCCTGGAGAGCATCCTGATAATCATCCAGAAAATAGGTGACTGCATCAACTGTCCCTGGGTAGTTGGCCCTATAGTATCCCGTATATGGCGTCCCGAGATAATTGACTGCTTCCTCTCTCACGTAGCCAACAGCAAATCTCATGGACTGACTGCCAGTAACTATCCCTAAGTCATGTGATAGAGCTACAATTCCCCCAGGAAACCAAGCATCATCGCCATTCAACTTCCCTGTTTTGATAAAGTTGGAGCGTACGTTCTCCCACTTTCCCGATGCAAAGGAAAGTTTTGAAGTAGGAGTTGAACGGGATGCAAAGATAGCCTCACCCCATGTTGCCATATCATTACGCTCTTCATACAGGACAGAATTATTGACACCAAGGGAGAAGATAGCAGTAGTATCTTTCCTCTGGAAGTTTCCGTAGGTGTTTTCGTGCTTTCCTACCCATCGGTCATCAATACTAGAATATATCTGAATGTTGTTGGAAGAAGCCGTCGACAATGAGACTGTTAGATAGCCTACAAGCACCTGGATCAGCTATCGACATGATTATCATTGATCATAGATAGCGTTTCTTACTGAAAGGGAGAGACTGTCGGAGATGATTGAAAGGCGACACAGGTGAAAAGAAATCTAGGGTGAAAGTCACCGGACCAGCAGACAGGGTGAATATTGAATGGGTAGAAGTATATTCTGCACTAGAAACGACAGCTGGGAGAATGTCATCACCTGCATTCTTCCCATTCATCAAGCTGTACGTCTCTCCGTCAACCCGCGCCATCACTGACCAGGAGAGACTCTGTCCGGTCCAAAACTGAGGCTCTGCATACGGCAAAGTCTTGACTTGATCGCTAGGCATCCATGCCGAGAGATATGGGTTTCGAACTGCCAAGGGGTAGGAAGGAGGCAGGGCTGGTCGATAAATTACGGAGTCTCGCTTACGCGAAAACATAGAGATGACCGTCATAAAAAGGGTGCCAATCCTTAAACGATCTCGAAAATCAAGATACATGATGGCTGGAAGCTTTGAGTACCTTCCTGTCGACAATTATAGGGATAAAAAAGATAGATGTGGTGACTTCGGCGGTCAGCCGGGCGAATAAGATTGTTGGTTATATGGTCGTCCGGAGGAACTCCAGGCGAACAATCCGTGAAAGACAAGAAGAGCTCAGATCACATCCACGCGGCAGTTGGCGTGGAGAAACAAATGAATTCGTCGATCAGTTTCGTCATTGGGGTGATTCGTCATGCATCGGAACGTCCGGTGGGCTGATGGACATGCCGATCTCTGTGACAGAACAGTAGTGGAAGTCTGTTCATTTGGCTGTTCTTAGTACAGTGGACAATTATGGCTATGAATCCTAATACATTAATCTTTTTAAGGATTTATTCGATCGGCTGCCAAGAGAACCCAAGGATGCGGGGTACGTTGACAGGAGTTCTTCGGAAGCTATACAAACTTGAATGCTCTAGTTCCATAAATACTAGTACTACACATTTATAAAAGTCAACGTGGTATATGAAACAGTACGAAGTGAGGCCCTCAAGCAAATTGATATTCCCATCAGGAGTTGCTGACAGCTTGAACTGGATAGCTTTCTATCGGTTGGATTCCTTTAGACAATGGTCTCGACTTTTGCTTTCTCGCTTCCTCAGTAATAAAACTTGGCATTTTGACAAATCGACATATATGCTATGAAAATTCCTTTCTCATAAAAAAAAAATAAACAGTCCCTTCCTATAGTGGTTTCATTCAGCTCCCGTTTCTACAGCATAGGCTTCTCAATCCTCCTTCCAAGCTCATCGAAGTGAATTTGCTTCCCAGTTACTAGGGCCTCCTGGAGGTAGGCACCGATTTCCACAGCCTTAACCGCGTTGGTTAGTTTAATCGGAAGAGGGGTGTTGTCTAGACAAGCAGCAGTGAACTCATTCGCCTCCTTAACGAAAGCAGCACCGAATCGGCCGATGAAGTTGCTAGGGACTTCTCGTGTTATACCTCCGGAGTGATAGAAGTTGACAAAGTTGCGCTGAGGGTTGGTGTTGACAGATAATTTACCCTCAGTGCCAATAACTTCTGTCGTGTCTTCCTGGCCGTGTGCCATCATACGAGAGCAATAGTAATAGGCGATTTTGCCGTTGTGGAATTCGACAATCCCTACTGCATTGTCATAGTCGTTGTACTTCTTCAGCTCCGGCTGGACAGCTGTAATTCCGTGGGCGGAAATGCTTTTAGGGACCGAGTCGTCACCGAAGAACCACAGGGTGAGATCGATGTCATGGACAGACATATCAACAAAGACGCCTCCGGACCATGCTGCATATGCAACATAGAAACCTGAGGGGTCAAATTTATCACATGTCTGGCTTCGAATGATAGAAGGTCGACCGATCAAGCCTTGAGTGATTTTGTCGTGGACCTCGCGGTAAGATTCATCGAACCGGCGAGAAAAGCCACACATGACTTTGAGATGAGGCTTAGTCTTTGCTTTCTGCACCACCGCTTTGCACTGTGACAGGTGTTAATATATGTGTGGTGCAAGGCTTAAGCCAACGTTAACGGTCTAGACTTACCACTTCAATATCTGTTGATAATGGCTTCTCACAGAGGACGTGGAGATCACGGTCAATAGCTTTAATAGTCTGCTCTGCATGAACAGATGTCGCTGTACCAATGGCTACTGCCGCTAGACCGGGATGCTCGAGCATCCTGTCGTAGTTATCATAGAGAGTCACACCATATGGCTCCAGATTCTGTTTGCCCCAAGCAATCTCTGCAGGGTCAGGAGAGAAAGCTGCCACGAGCTCAGCACGAGGAGTGTGATGCAAAAGGTTAATGACATGGATCTTGCCAACACGGCCCAGACCAGCCATACCGACTTTGAGCTTGTGGACGGACATCTTTCAAGGCGGCGTTTCAGATGAAAATCACAATCACTATACAAGCAGAAGAAAAAGGTTATGGGATAAGATGGAGGAGAGAGATGTTGCGAATGGAATTCCTGAGCTGGTTATTGTGACTTGAGGTGCACCTTTGCGCGCCTTATATATACACAGGAGCACATGGAGCTCGCAAAATGGAAAACTTGGCCTTTCTGGTGCGAGGCAAGAATATCCGTCTGGTATGCATTTTTGATATCTTGGAGAAGGCCCACAGCAGGCCCGGTCGGGTGTACTGTTGGTTGTATAACTCCCAGCGCTTTTATTTTTGCCCAACTGAAGTTGAGGGTATACTTGGTATGTGGGGAACGGAAAGAGTTGCCCTCTCTCGCATGAGATGGAGATACTTTCCCTTTCATCCCGATGGGGTCTACCGACACCTCAGGCACTCACACCGCCGATCCCCAAATGCATGCGGGGTTACATGGATGTGGGGAATCCCATCAAGTGGAATTCACTTCCTGGCAACTCTCTCCGTTCCTCATTTTCATTTGCATCGTTATGACTCCTGTTCGAGAAAAGAGGAGTCGTCTAGTCAGTGGCTGGTACTAATTGTCCAATAAGAGCTCCCCTTGATTCTCCTTGTCTATAACGACTACTATACCACTAATACATACGTACATTAAAGCTAACCGTTGTCCTAGTCGGAGATGTAGAGGTAGGATGAAGGGTGACCATCTCATAGATCCACGAGGATAGCAAGGCTAACCTGGAATTTGTCCCAGCTCGGCATCTCAAATGTATGTATGATCCACACCCTCATCATCAGCTCAATGTTTTACTCGGTTTCTAGGTGACACCGATTCCCCTATCTGTTATCACTGCAAACAAGCTGGGATCGATTGTGATAGAAGCTTCAATGTGAGGTTCCGTGAAGGCTTAGGTCTGAACAATGACCACGATATTGTATTTCCAGAAAGAGGCATTTGGCCACATCCGATAGGGCCCCGTGAGTAGTCCAGGTTGACCAATATCATGTAGGAATCTCAATTAACCCCGTTCAAGTTCAATTCCACGATGAAACTACCGCTATCAAAGAGCTATACTGTGTCGATAGCTCGGATACTTCCTTTCACCCCAATGGCAGCTTAGACTCTTTGTACGATTCCAGTTTTAAAGCCCCAGCTGGGCTATATCCGAGTCCTGATCAGTTTGAACTGCCGGTGTCGGAGCCTCCCTCAGGACCTCGATCATCTACAAGTCCTTCCACACCACACCTTTATAGTGAGGATCTTCTCTTAAACATATTGTCTCTTGATGCCTTAATTTGGCGCATCTCAACTAACCGTGTGTTCGGTAACGGGACAGCTTCTCAAACCCAAGGGATACCCTTGTATCATGGAAACGATCGTGGGCCTAGTTTTCCTTCATCGCCGAATAGGAATATGCATGAGAGCAGATCCGCTGATGCTCAGAATACCTCTTTCAGTGAGAGGGAGGCCGCACTTATACGCAACTATGTCGACAATATGGCCCTTTGGGTGAGTGAATCACAGAGAGGAATTTGTTTGTTGAAGACGCAAAGAAGGCACTGATAGATCACAAGGCCGATATTACCGATCCCCAACGACATTTTGAGATCGAAGTTCCATTGAGAGCACTTGAGGAGCCGGTATTGCGTTATGCAATCTTTGCGTTCTCTTCTCGACATATAGATAGACAGAGACAAAAAGACATATCGGAAGCCCTACAATACCATAACCGTTGCCTCCAGCTTCTTATTCCCGTTTTGTCGGGACCCAGGAACAGTATCACAGATACGGTTCTTGCAGCGGTCGCAATTCTCCGGCAGCATGAGGAAATGGACTGTACGCTCAAACGCAACAAATACATCTGCTCCAGGCTTACCCGAACTAGGTGAGGACAATCAGTTCCATTTGACAGGGACAACCCAAATCTTGAATACAGTATCATCGTTCGGATCGAGCGGAGGTCTCGGTGAAGCAGCAGCTTGGTTATGCCTGCGCGAGGACATTTACATATCACTCATTTCGCAACGACCATTACAAACGGATTTGTGCCGTTTCAAAAATTCGAATGTCTTCTGCCGGGAGGACGATTTTGCTTGGGCGAGTCGTATGGTCTTTCTTCTAGCCAAGGTACTCAAATATGCATTTAATTATGATCGCACTGTCAATTCTTCCATGCTAGAAGACATTGGTGAGGAGATTGAGAATTGGAATACCAGGAAGCCGCCCACATTCCAGCCCATCCAACATGTCCCTCGTAGCAATGAGGCGCATAGAAGATTTCCAGGAGTCTGGATGCTGCTGCCCGTCCACGGTTGGTCCCCAGCTTGAGTTTTCGCTAGTCACGCCAACTCACACATGTGTATTGTAGTGGTTGGCGTTCAGTATTACCATATCGCTAAAATCATACTCGCATTTTCCTATTGTCCGAGCCCATCTCTGGCATACGAGAGCTTCAAGCAATCGCGCAGCATAGAGGTCAGCCTTTGGAATCAATCACCTGTTGTGGAAAGATGATATAGTGACTGACTTCTTGACTAGAAAGTCGTTCGAGGCCACCTTCTTACTGTGCTTGGCTTAGCAAAGTCCAATCCACGGGCCGAAAACACTCTTTTCACTGCGCGGCATAGTCTAGTTTCTTGTGAGTTCTACGCGATCCTCGTTGCCACCACCAGTATAACCACGTTGGCCCCACCTTGTTGCTGTTGTCTCTTGTCTTTCACATGGTTGCCTCCTACTCTAACCATCTACTTGTAGGGGGCTGGATACTCCGACATAGGCAAGATCAGGAGGCTGCCGAAAATTTGTTAAGAGACGTGGAGACAAGGACTGGCTGGGACGTGTCCCAATCAATTCAGTCACTGAGAGAGCAGTGGTGTGATGGGTCCGATGATAATTGACTTTAGGAGCCCAACCGTGTCGGGCAAGTAGGAATCTGCAGTATTTGTGGAAATCGATTGGTGATTTCTCGTATGCCGCTAAAATTGGGCAGACTTTCATTTATTATATTTCTTTCTTCTTTTTTGTTTCTCATTTATTTCCTCCCATCAAACCCTCTCACCTAGTAGCCCAGGCGAGTCGCTCAGGTTGGTACAAAGGATCCGCTGTCATGACGGATACTGATCCTAATAAGCAAAGGATTTGTTTCTAGCCCTATCGTCTATAATTCCGGTTGTTGCTGTGTTTGTTTGCTAACGAAAACATGAGAGCGGTGAAAGACTGAGATGGAGAAGTATAATGACACCATACCCTGCATTAGCCCTAACGCTCTACGATCTCCAGCCGACCTATCACAATGGTCTCTTTTATCAGGTTGACAGCCACCGGATAATATACGGCGAGAAAACCATGGATCTTGCATCGTGTTGGCGCTCTGACCCATTTCTAAATTAGGACCTCCGGAGATCTCCTATCATAAATCACATCAGTGAGGCGTATAAAGCACAACTTTGATTTGTCTGTCGTTCCGATAACGGCTCTACGTGTATCCGCCGAATCTATTAAGCTCTACGCTTTAAATGCAATGTGCTAAAACCCAGCTTCTGGAATCTGCTCTCTCACATTCTTGGCTTCCCTGTGAATTGCTCTTGACAAGGATTATGCGTGTCTTGCATTCGGAGTAATGATAATTGGCAATCACGCACCACCAGACTAGCGCTGGTAAAAAGCAAGTCGATCTTTCGCACTCTTCATCCTCTCTAATTCCCACCCCTCTTCGGAAAATTATTTTGATCGTTAGGCTCAAAATCAGGTATTTGGCCTCAGTTATATCCTGTTTTGGCAGTGTATATCACTAGTGCAGCCGCCCCAATGCCTATATTCCGCCACCTGAGATCGCGGCTCTCCTCGTCGTCATCGCCTGCAACTGAAACAAGTTCTGTGGAAACCCATACCTATTATCCTACCGACGGGGAATTTGTTACTGGTCCAACAACACGGAAGTCACACATACCCAACGCCGCCCAACCGACAAAAGAACCTCAAGCACGGCTGGAGCCCGTATCTAGCTCATCATCCCAAGAGCCGTCGTTCTATTGGCAAAATATCGACCCGCCGGCGCCCTCTCACCGTTATCAACGTCTTTCCTCTTACAATAATCGACTCTCGAGACGACCGTCCAAGTGGAGGCCCATGATGCTCCCCAACAGCAATACAGCCGCTATGAATAGTGCTCTCCCAGGCTACAACTCCGTGAGCGGCTCTGTCGTAGTGGACTGTAACGGGCTCCCCTACTTTCTGTCTCCTCAGGAGGAACAGGAAAGGAATTCAAAGCTGCAGCGTGCCGTTCAAGAAAGAATGATGGGGCTTAGGCGAGAGACAGAATTTGCTTGGTCACAGCCATGCCACGGTGCTACGTTACCAAGATACTCTCCGCCAACAGACACGCACTTACGTTCATATACCAAATGAGGTCACCAGAAATGGTTCGAAACGTGGTACGTGCGCGACCAAAGTGAGACGTCAATGATTCTGAAATTTTATACGTTTTACTTAGTTTGAAGGGGTATCAGCAGCTACCTTTTGAGTATACACTTGACACCACAGACAAAATGTGTGAGCCAGGTGTACCAAGTGGAAGGACCCTAGGATGACCTCAGGATAAATTTATGATTTATGACAGTGACGATGGAAATGCCAGCGGATTGGGAAATGATTTTGATAATAAGCACAACGTTTACTTTGGGTTGATATGGCCATGAGAATGCCTACCATTTTGTATTTATGTTTCTATGCAAAGCGGGTTTTAGATCGACCGTAGAATTTCTTTCCTATGCGTGTATGATAGTTGAACCTCCTTTTAAGTCTTACAATTTCTCACTATTCTCCCTATTTGTCTTGATACGAAATGTGTAGGTAATAACTTGAGAAAAGTTCAACGGGTCTACAAGCCAAGCTAACCAAAGAGATATCAGGAGAGTCAAAAGTAAAAGACAATGATGATCATTATCTAGATACCAAGTCATGATGTTATAACCTGTCTGGCATAATCATTATTGACGTATACATGTATCACGATAAAATCATCGAATGCCTGCGCAACAAGCGCTAGTGAGTCATTTGCAGTCTATTAGCTCCTCTTGTCAGCAAGCAAAATGACCAGCGTCCCCAAGCCATCGTCAGGCTAATACCTAATCGTTTTCAGATCGGGATCTTCTATACAATCAGTAATCGCCATTGCGCAAGGACTGCTCTAAGATAATGATACCGTCTTCAGCAGTACCTAACATTTATCACAGGTTCGTCAGTGGAGGGTACGAACAACACAAGCCAGGTATTTCCAATCCCGAGAGTCTGCTCATGGACTTGCTCCTCTCCTCTCTTTGTACCCCCTCAGACTTCTCCATTTTGTAAGCAAGCGATAGTCAAATGCCATCGTCGCTTCAGCATATAAATAATATCAGGAATGAGATGGTCTTTCGGTAACCCTGTCCTTAACCCACAGGGTATCAGGATAGTATCATCATTAAGGCCAGAGATTCTTGTTACGATTTGCAGACGGGTATAGGATATAGTCAGGATACCCCTCAGTGGCCCCGTACTTTAGAGTATCGGGATATCATAGTCATCATTAAAGGATGTGGTTTATTCGGCTTCGGTCATGAGCGATCAACTTGGTTTCAGATCCAAGGTGGTATTCATGCTCAGCTTCAGGTGACGTTGTCTTGCCCTTTTCTTTCCATGACTATTTAGGATGCATCTCATGCTCATCATTAGGATAAGTGAAAACGACAGCCTTATGCTCAGCCAGATAGTCAGATTTAGTCTGGTTGATGCTTGTTTTGTTGTTTTAACTGTGTCCTTCAGGGTTTGGTTATCAAGCTTATTGTTAAGGCAGGTATTGGAAGGGAGACTTTGTGGTTGCCGATGTGGCTTCTCGCTGTGTATTTATAGAAATATGGGCAGTTAAAAGGGTACTTGTAGTTGTGGGACGATAACTTTTCGTTTGTAACAGTGATCCAGTGAATAGATAATGAAGTGGTAGTCATGGCATCGTCACGTTTAAGCTAGTCATAGACTTGCCTCAGGCCAGAAAACGTTCTCACCATCCGATAGGGACTAAGTTACTGAAGGTGTGTACTCCAAGATATTAAAACCCAGTAATACAAACCACCATCTCTCCATACTACAAGCAGTGTCACCCACGTTTCCTATCACTTCCTCGTGGCCAAAATCAAAACCACCGGCCACGAGAATGCCCGCCTGGCGTGCAACCCGCCCATTTCCCTCTCCAACTGCGCCCACAACGGCTTCACATATTCCTCCTCCATCCCCTGAAAAGGGTATATATACTCAACGAACTCACGAAGTTGACTCACATTCCAGTCCTTCCTCCAGAGACTCCTATCGTCCCTCTCGATAACTACCTCCTTATCTGTGACACTACTCCTCGGCTCCACGGGAAAATCGCACGCCTCGTTACCAAAGAACCCCAGAGTAGTCCACTTCGTATTCCACTTATGTCGCACGACAGACCCCCAGTCCTCTTCCGCAAAGGGGATATAATCCAACCAACTGGCTATGCCATCCGCCACATGCTTCCATCCCGCCGCGTGCTCCGGGCTCCCTCCGGTAATCACGCCCGAGAAATGATGATTGATTATCCTGTCTAAGAGTGGCTGACACAGTGCCGCATACTCGAGCTCCGCGAAGTGTGCACGTCCATAAAACCACACAGCCAAGGTTCCGCCAGGCTTTAGGAGGGCATGGAAGCTTCGCAGCGCAGACGTAGTATCCATCAGCGGGAACATGAGTGCACTGACGACTAGGTCAGCGGAGGCGGGCGGATACTTGGACCCCAGGTCTTCTCCTTTTGCAACGGCAAAGGAGAATCGGGATTCAGAGCCGTTGGTTGTTGACAGGAAGTGCTTGGCATAATTGACGTGGTTCTCGTTATTGTCGCTTACGACGACATGGGAGAACCTCTGGGCGAGTTTCACGGAGACTTGGCCCGGTCCAGCGCCGACATCGTGGGCGACGGAGAAGTAGGGTGGATTAGAGTGTGAGTGTGAGACATGGTAGTTGTAGATCAGGTTGTAAAATGCATCTGTGTATTTGGGGCGTGTGGCGAGGTAGCCTTTCCAGTAGTGGGATACATCGTCTTGGGTCAGTTTCCATACATTGGCGGAATCGTCATCCTTGTTGAGATGGATTGTTGCTGTGCTGAACTGTCTGGTAATATGGGATAGAGCTGATAAGCGGCGGAAATGGCAGCGTTTTGAGTACGCAAATGAAGCTGTCAACTTCATCGCGAGTTATTTCTGAAGAGTCATGATTCTAGAGAGGAAAGTTGGGGGGTAGGGTAGAAGCTTGGATAAGCTTGCAGGACGGACATCAAAAGCAACGACTACACCGAGATATCAAATTCCGTAAAATGGTAAAACCGGCTAATCTGGTTGATTGACTACCGCACACTGCAAGAGCCGAAGTGTGACGATGCTTTAGCTCTGCAGAAGCCCCGTCGGATGCTCCGCTCGTATCTTCGCACGGCCGATCCTTGGTGGTATTGTCAATACTGCCCCAGTGTGTAAAATTGAACCAGCGTCTCAGAAAGAGAGAGGTGAATGATAACAACCAACATCCCCTCGGAATTATGACTTTTGAGAGCAAGAAGCCACCATGGACACCACCAAGCACGATTACTCTCCCGTAGCTTCGTCAGATATAGAAGAGTCCCTAATCTCTGATGAGCAGCGGCAGCCCCCCCATAGACAGAATGCACGATCCTTTTACTGTCACTATACTCTCTATTCCCTATTATTGCTGTCAAACATTGTGCTCTTTGGCCTCTGGTGGCGGGCTACTCTATTGAGTGAGGTGTGCGTACGACCCAAGTTATCTTATTGTATGTTGTTTCCCCCCTCGAACATGGAAATCCAGCACAACTGTATATCAAAACAAGACTGAACCATCTCACAGCCCCCGCAAAACATGTCATATCCTACGAAAAGAGACGTCTCAAACGTGACATCGAAAATAATGTTTTCACCGGCGACCCTCGACCCGAATTTGACGCAGCATGGAAACACCTACTAGAGCGTAGGCTTTCCACTCCCCATCTAACCCAATAGTCACTAACCTCAAAAACCTAGCCATGACAATCAACATTACCTCAGAAGAACTATCCAACCTCCCAGACCCAAGCATTGCATTCAACGATGGGACCGGCTACATCGCAGAATTAGCCGTGTACCACGAACTCCACTGCATCGTGCGCCATCCATCCATCCAGACCCCATCGGAAATTACAGCTAACACTTAGCCTTCAGAAACGCATCCGTCGCCACTTCCACCTCGACCGGTACTACCCTAATATGACCGAAGATGACCGTATCCGTGAGGAGGCTCATATCGACCACTGTCTCGAGTACTGGCGCGAAGCAGCCATGTGTCGCGGCGACACGACCCTCGCGACTTTCCGCTGGGTAGACGGGCTACCGTATTCGCGGGTGTATAGCGATCACGAGTGCGTGAACTGGGAGGCGCTGGATCAGTGGGCCAGGTCAAGGATGGTGGATATGAGTGATTATAGAATGTTGGTTCAGTAAATCTGACTGGGTTGTTGTTGGACTTCTTTGTTCGAAATATGCACATATATATATATATATATATATGCCACTTGCCCACGGAACAATATTCATTTATAACTCATTAATCCCATGTAAATCATCAAACCTCAAGTAACAATTCCCGTATCCGTCGAATTCGCCCACTTCTCCGCCCACTTCACGACCTCATCATAGTCCCGACACTGCCGGCCCTGCCCCCATCCACTCGTGGTATGCGTTTGAGGATCCAAAACCTCCATATTAGTATCCGCTGCACACATCAACGTCTGTCGGAGATAATCAAAACAATGCCGGATATGCGACGGAGCCATTCGCGTTCCCGTCTGTTGGAGGTAATCGTCCGGACGCTGAGCGCCCTTCGCTACGTCAGATTCCTCAACGGCTGCATAGTAAGCCACCAGAATTGCGTGCTACGTAACCAGGATACCCGATTGTCAGAACCCTCTAACAATAGCGGGAAATGTAGGAAGTTTACTAACCAAGCAATGCAATTGATGAAAGACAGCGATGTTAGAGATGAAGGGAGCGATTTCAGGATGGTGGATGAAACCTCTTCCGACTTGTTTTCCCCCACCCGTATACATTAGAGAACCGTGTTTATCAATGTAGCAGGGGATGACTTTGAATTTACCTGGGATTATGGAACTCCAAGCGGCTTCAGACTCGGGCGTTGGGCGTTGGGAAAAGGTGAGATTATGCTCCCAGACTGTTTTGACATTGCCTTGGGGTACTAAGATGATCGATGGACTCAGTATATTTCCATTCCTCATCTGCTGGATGAGGGGAATGCGTTTCTCACGTATAAGTCCATCCCACTTGTTGACTGATAGTCTTTGGCCGATGATCAGGCCCAACGTGAGAGCTATTGTGGATGTTACTATCACTTGGATGATTACTGCCCCGGTTCTGGTGCGAACTGGAGAAGTTTGGTTAGGGATTGGGATTGATTCCTCTGATTCCCCCCATCGGGTGTAAGTGGTTGTTGATCTGATACCCTTCTTTGAGGAATGGAGGGGTGTCATGATCTGAAAAGTAATTAGTTTTGTTGTCTACGGAGGAATATGCGGAGTACGTACACACAACTACAACAACAACAGTTTGAGTATAGCTACGGTATGATACATATCCGTAGAACTGTAGTCTGTATCATTCAATACAGTACCTGTCATAACGTGTTACACTCCCTTTTGGGGGGGGGGGGATGGGATATGAGAGGATCGACAATGGGCCCGAGAACCCCTCACAGAGACACGAGGGGTTACATTGTGAAGGATTTTGCCTAAACAGACCGTAGTGGCGACTAAGGGACAGGGTTTTAGATATTGAGCACAATATACAAGACCGGAAACCCCAATTCTGGACTATCAAGCTCATATAATTGGAGGAAATACCGACGCTAAGCTTTTATCCTAACCAGGGAAACATACCGGTGATCATTGAGGTTGATGCTGGAATACTAACAATGGATTAGAGAGCAATCAAAGTGCTCGATATCGACCTAGAGACTCGTATTCATATTCCATATACGTCTGTATGCATGGAGCCGCTCACCGAGAGCAAGGCATTACGGATAAGCATGGGCTCGTAGAATCTGCCGTCTCTTCAGTAGCCAATTAGTATTGACCGCAATACACCAGAAAAGCACAATGGATCTGCAACCTATCACCCGAAGTGTATTGTTCTGCTTCAGTGTACGTGCTTACTGGATTACCTTCATGAGTTGGGCCTCGGGCATCCGGTTCTTCTCACCGTAGTGCATATATAATTCCCGATCCTCAAATATAAGCCCGCAACAAACCCCTATCCCAATCAACAAACAGACACGAGAGAGAAAGTCAGAGCAAAGAAAAATGCGAGCCACCACATACATCTCCCTCCTTATGCTCGTTCTGGGCGCAACCACGGCCTTCCCTACTGGGAGCGGTACACTCACCCCTTTTCTCTTATATAATATAACTCATAAAGGATTCGTGAGCTGACGAGTTCTATCCCAAAATCAAGCTGTCGCCGACGCCGATGATCTCGTCCGCAACAGTTGGTCGGAAAAGCGCAGCGAAGACGCAGACGATTTCGTTCGCAACAGCTGGTCGGAGAAACGTAGCTCGCAATAGCTGGTCATTCTGGAGTTCTCGTCAACGGGATCAGAATCGATGAGTCTGGCTTCTGGGGGGCAAGACAAAGAAATGGAATAGAAGGGAAAATTTGCTTAGTGCGATGCATTATGGTTATAATGTCATGTAGATCCTTGCAATTTAAGGAGCGATGTATGTGAAGAAATATTGAATTCAAGTTTCAACGCTCGATTGTCGCTGAATCGTGGAGCGCTTGGGCCCTCATTGCTCTTCATCAGATTCATGAATATATTCTATATGACTCGTACACGTCTCATGGTAATTGCACATATCATTCAATATGGTGCGGTCCGCCCATTTACGGCACGGGCGTCGATCGCCGACGGGGACGCGGGATCAACGTGTTGAGTTAATTAGGCGCGAACCCTAATTTGATCTGTACCTTTACCATTGAGGCAATGATACGCAGCGACAGTTCGTATTACAGGGTGGTACATATTTGTAGCACGACGTAGGATTCACCCGGTAGTCCTAGTATGTATCCAGGATCCTAGAGTGCGCAAGTGAGCTTTCAGTTGCGCCAATGACTAGGTAACTAGATATTAGCATACGTACACACTCTTCGCAGTAACTCCTTGTATGTGCTATAGGGTATATACGAGTAATGTACACCTCCTTACCGAGTCACATAGATAGCTGATTGGTGGCTTAATCAAGGTACCCTGCTATATCCATGAAATGCCCGGAACTACTAGGCGAAGGATCATCATTTGAGATGGCTCCGCCATTGCCGCTGAGATTGCCAACTTAGTGCAATTACCTGGCATGCAGATAGTCGTAAGTACATGATGAACTAGGATGTGCTTCCATGACCGACAGGCAGTCACAATATTGATTGTTTCACACTCAAATTGATGGTTTTGGGGCACCGTGATGGTTAAATGGAATTTAGACTGGGTTTTGGATTTATAGACATGCGTCTACCTGTAAGACTGTCTATTCACAATGTCTTTTGGTTGAAAGTCAAAGCGCTTGACTGAGGACTCTATGAACCCATGAGCTCAGGGAATAGGCGATGGTAACTAAGTGTACATAGAGAAAGCAAACTATCAAACCAACATGTTGATGACCGCATGAATGGCGATCATGCCTGAGCGTCGGCCCCGAGAATAATGTCTGCAGCCTGCTCGGCAACTGCATAAAGAGTCGCCTGCGGGTGTCCACCGATACTCAGCGGCAGTATACTCGCATCTACAATGCGAAGATTATGGACACCGAAGACGCGGAGGTCCGGATCGACTACCTTGCCCATGGCGGCAGTACCTGCTGGGTGGTGGTGGGCCAGACCAGTCGCCCGGATCCGTGTCTCGAATTCATCATTCGACGATTGAGATGATAAAGCTGGCATTCCGGGAGGAGGCACCTCAGCTTCGATATAATCTGCTAAGGCGGAAGTGTCCAGCAAAGCCTGCATCGTACGTCGACTGCCGTGGATCAGTGTAACACGATCAGCTTCCGTGTCAAAGTAGTTAGAGTCGACCAGGGGAGGGTCCGTGGGTAATGGCGACCGAATACTGACGGTTCCTCGGGACGTTGAAGCGAGTAACATGACCGAGGTCATAATGAAGCTGCCATCCATAGGAACACCAGGTACACCAGCCGGAGCATAGGCAACTAGAGTTTCGACGAGCGGTCGCCCAGGTTTCAAGAAAGATTCGTCTGCAGGGGAGCCGAATCGCACGTTATCATTATGCGTTGCTGCCCCCAGAATATCCCTCGGTACGTCCTGGTTAACAACCCAGTCTCCAGGGAAGCCCTTCATAAACGCAGGGTCTGAGAGGACGGGGCTGCCTAGGGCGAGCCCACGCTCTGGATTGCGCAACTTGTATAGCTGGTAGAGCGCAAAATGATCATTTAAGTTTTTGCCGACCTCTGGCGCATCGATGATACTTGGAATTGCGTGCCGGGATAGTATATTGGCTGGTCCAATTCCCGATAGCATGAGGACCTGGGGTGTCCGGAGAGTACCGGCTGCCAGGATGACCTCCTTACGTGCATTGAAGCGCCGGCCATCCGACAGGAGCACTGCAGAAGCAGTCTTTTGTCCATTCTGGTCGCCGTCCGTAAATTCGACTCGGTGAACAATAGCATCCGTAACCACCTGCACACCTTCCAAGCTGTACGCTTGGTGTGCTGCTTGACGCTTTCCGTCGCGCCAGGTCTCTAGAAACTCAGAGATACCAGACAAATTTCCAGAACAGCCATCGGGGTTATATTGGACCCCGATCTCGTTCCAAGCATCCTTTATTGGCTCCCGAAGGGGGTACCGTCTGTTGGGGTCACTAGCAGAAACCGAAGTAACATGAATAGGTCCCTCAAATCCGTGTTGCTTGGGGTCTGCTTTAGAGTCAAAGAACGACTCCGACCTGCGAAAGTACGGAAGTAAACCGTCGTAGCTCCATCGCTGGTCGCCGACTATTCTGGCCCAGTCATCATAGTCGGTCGCATCCCCGCGACTCCAGCCACCGAAATTAATTACACTTCCTCCTCCGAGGGCCTTCCCACTATGGATAGTGTGCACTCGATTGCCCGTATTCGCCTGAGGCTCGGTTCCATAGGTCCAGTCGAGATCAGAGCCAAGGAGCGAGAAGACACCCGGGAAGGAATGTGTGTTGGAGTTGCTGGAGGGGTCACTGCCCGCCTCGAGAATGAGAATGTCGAGTGATGGGCTGCGTTGCTGCAGGCGTGAGGCGACCGCGCACCCGGCCAGCCCGCCGCCCACTATAATGTAATCCGCTTCTAATTCTGTTGATCCCATAACTGATGTGGTTGTGGTTGTGGTTGTGGTTGTATGGAATGTTAGAAGCCAGATTGTCGAGGAAGTAAGAGTGGGTAGATTGGGGGCCTAAATTTCCAAGCCACTACTACAGGAATGGTTATTGCTTACTATCTTACCATCCCTGTTAGTTAGTCCGATGGGAACAGACTCAATGGTTGGTCCTGATACTTTTGATCAGCGGGATTCTTTATGGTTCGGACACGGGTAAATATGGCAGGAAATTACCCTACAGCATCCGATCGCATATATATCTTGGGATGGAGGGCTCATTTGATATCACGGCCGAGAGTCACAACTTTTTTACTCTGGTCAAAGCTCTAGCCATATCCGATGACTTCCCAATCAATCGTCCTCATCTCCGGTATGGCCAGTCGCTACTCTACTCTAACATTGGCATGGCTACATGAAACATAACTTACCATCACCAAACTTCAGGTTCAAACCGGGGTCTCGGCTACGAAACAGCCAAGAATCTGCTTCTGTCAGGCAACTACCACATTATCATCGGTAGTCGAGACCGCTTGAAGGGCGAGGCAGCCGTCGACTCTCTCCGCTCACTGCCTGGCATCCATGGCACCGTGTCAACAGTCCAGCTAGACGTGACGGACGATCACTCCGTCGATGACGCAAAAGCACGTATTGAATCGGATTTCGGCCATCTGGACGTGCTCGTGAATAATGCAGGCATCTACCTCCTCAACCCGGAGGTTGTTCGTGACGCCCTACGGCTTACTCTGGAGACCAACGTCACGGGTGCAGCGAGTCTGACAGAAGCACTGCTTCCTCTGCTGCTGAAGTCCGCGAACCCCCGGTTGATCTTTGTGAGTTCCTCCAATGGATCGATGACGTATAATCTCGATCCAATCTCACATCATGGCGGCACTCATGCTACGGAGCATCGCGTAGCCAAAGCTGCACTCAATATGCTACTAGTGCAGTACCATATGAAGCTGAGGAGCGTTAAAGTGCTGGGTGCAGATCCAGGGTTTTGTGCAACTGATGTCATTGGAGATGCGGACGCGTTGCGCAAAATGGGCGCGACGGAGCCGGAGGTTGGGGCGAAGATTATCGCCTCCGTGGTGAAAGGAGAGAAGGACAATCAGCCGGGCAGAGTGCATGGCCCTCAGGGCGTAGTGCCGTGGTAGTCCAGGATTATTGACACTAATAGTAACAATTGGAATGATCCAATTGTTACTGGCGCAGCTTTTGCCTCGGAGATTGAAGATATGTAGAGATGGATTCAAGGAGTACAGACAATAATACATGCGATCTATTTGTAGGTTTTTTTTCTTCTAGGCCACAGCACAGTCCACCTTACCTCGCCTTAGGTAGTAGTTAGTATACAGGTATGAATACAGCACCCGGCTTTTATAGATTAAACCATTGATTGAAAACATCTTCCGGATCCACTTGCGCCTTGATAGCCTTGAGTCGGTCCACATTCGCACCATAGATCGATGTCAAATCCTCATCACCATGAGCGAAGTTGATATATCTGTGTAATTCAGTTATTTTGAGATTGGGAGAAAGAGAAAAAGGGAAAAGAAGAACGTACGTAGCCGGGGAGTCAAGCTCATCAGTAGAGCGCCACAGGTCACGAATCTTGGAACCAAAAGCTTCGGCACCCGGGCGAAGGCTGGTATCATAGTACCATGGGATAACAACCGCATTGAAGTTGACCTTGTTTCTTAATGCAAAGGCAGTAGATGACTCCGGTACGGAGCGAGCTTTCTCCAGAGAATACGCTTCCATGAGAATAAGGCTGCTGCCGGTGCCGTTCCGCCCAATATATGAGACATACTCGTCCCAGACCTCTTTCCAGGTACCAGGATTCATCCGAGCAAGACCAACGGTATATGCCGGCTTATACCCACCCTTGGTGCAGAAGCCTGCCGCCCCATCATTCCAGTGCGGATATTGAAGTTCGGTCGTGGTGTCCTCCGCTGGGCCAAGGTCCAGGAAGGTTGCAAATGCAGCTCTTCCTTCTGCTTCAGTTCCGTAATAGAATGGCGTGACGACGAGCATAGGAGTGTAGTCCGGAGAGCCACTGTTCATGTAATACAGAAAAAGATTCATTTTCGGCTCCAAGGTGATGTTATCGATAGCCTCCACCACAGCTTCGACCTTGTCAGCCGTGTAGATTAGCTGACCAAACCAAGCGATTTGGCCTGAGGGCGAGACTGGGTGCGCTTTCAATTTTGCAGACGTGACAATGCCGAAGTTAGGGCCGGCCCCGAGCATCGCCCACCAGAGATCCCGATCCTTGGGAGTGATGGTGTGCAAGCGACCATCTGCCATAACAACGTTGAGTGACAGGACGTTATCAACTCCTAAGCCCATCAGGCCCATGAGATTTCCATATCCTCCCCCTAAAGTAGCACCCAGGGCTCCAACACAGTTACAGTTACCGGTCTGAACGAGGGCACCATTCTTGGAGGCAGCCGCAATCACCTCCGAGATCTCAACGCCTCCCCCGACCGTGACTTCCGTCTTGTTATCACTGAAAACCATCGTGTTGAGTTGTTTCAGGTTAATCAGCAGTCCGTCCGTTCCCAGATGAAATGTATTTGCCCACCCATGTCCTCCATTTTGAGCCAGAAATGGAATACCATTGGACGTGCAGTAGTGCACCTGTTGAGTGCTTAGTGCGAGATATGAACAATCGCCATATCGCAGCAATGGGGAAGTAAAAAAAGGAAGGGAAAAGGAAACGGGGAGGAGAACGTACTGTTTTGGCTACATCTTGTTCCGTAGCCACCGTCACCACAACTCCGGGCTTAGGAGCATCGAACTCGCTCCAACGCGGGTACGCGGTTGTGTTTGCGCCAGTAATTAAAGCTGATGGAGATAAGTGAGGCCCCAGCTCATGCGAGACACGCACCGGAGATAATCCTAGGACCTCACGGGCGAGAAGAGTTAAAATCAGAGACACAAGGAGAGTCGCCATGAAGTCGCAGAGGACAGATCAATTACGATGGGGGGGGGGGGGGGGGGGGGGGGGGGGGTGACAGGCGGCGGCACGAGCACATCAGGCTTGTAGAAGATTTTATACAGCCACCTTTCCGAAAGCCACTACCCCTAAAGTCAGAGGCCTTGGAACTTTAGAACTCCTTTATGTTGCATGACAATTCGTTCAACTCGCTTTCAGTACTACCTAGGTAAAATTGCTCCTACGCTATCTTGTTCTCCACTATAGAGTACGATAGGAACCGTTAGACGGCTTCGCAGACGATCAAATCAGCCCACAGGTGGGTAATGTGAGCCTCGACTGCATCTCAACATTGACACCAAGAACCTGGCATAGAGTGGGCGCTGACTGTATGTACCATATACCGTGGGTCTTTGCGATCAGGAACCACGGAGTATTCCGAGGCCAGTCTGACATGGTATTCGTTATGAAGCACTATCACTGACGATCTTTCCCAGAGGGGTTGGCTTACCGGAGTAATATAAGCACTGCTACCTTTGGCCTGCAACTAATTAATGGCGGCAGGGGTCATGCCCTAGTGCACTACTTGGCGGAGATTGAGTGCCTGCGACGCTGTATTGCTGCTGTCAAGGTCCGTACTGTACCGTATAGTACAGACGGTCAGCTCTTCTGGTTCGCTCAACTCCTCTTGAACGTGTGGAGGGGGTGATCACTAGTGAGAGCTGCGAGTGCTGACGTTGGTTACAGTTTTATTATCTACGGACGAGATGGTAAATAATTTATACTCCTCCCTGTGCAACTCCGGGTCTCAGTGAATGCCCATCCCAGCGATTCATCACTACTACTACTACTATTACCACCACCATCATGGCGATTGATTCCTACTCGAAAGCGCAGATGATCGCGCTGGGAATCACTTTCCTCATTCTCCCGTGTATCTTCGTAAACCTTCGGGTCTGGGCCAAGTGGGTTTCGCGCGGAGGTGTGCAATGGGATGACTACTTGATTTTTGGAGCACTGGTACGTGGATCTGCTTATGCGTGTGACGCATTCTAACCGATCCTAGGCTTTCTCAGTCGCATGTTCTATCACGCAACTTATAGGTATCTTATTTCGCCTGTGCCCCGGTGGGCACGGTCGTGATAGTGGCTCACACTTTATGCAGGTGCCATCGATGGCCAGCTGGGACAGCATCAGACAACAGGACCCGATGGACAACCACTTCTCAACGACCCTCGGTTTCTCACCTATGAAAAGGTATGTCGGGTGGGAAATGATTGTCGCAAGGTCTGAATGGTCAGTTGATCAAGTGTTGTGTTGGATAGTGCAAGTTTGCCAGTCAATTGATGGCCGTCATTGGTTTGGGCCTCACAAAACTGTCGCTCCTCGTGTTGCTTCGGGGGATCTTCTCGGTATCTCGTATATTCAAGCATGTCTCGGCGGTCTTGTTGGGCATCACGGGTGCCTGGACGATATCCTTCTTCTTCAGCAACCTCTTCACTTGCTATCCCGTGACACCGCTAGTCGAGCCATTCTATGGCAACAAGTGTATTGATAGCGTTTCTATGTGGTACGCTTCATGCATCACCGACGTAATCATCGATGTCGTTATCCTAGTGCTGCCTTTACCTTTAGTTTTCAAGCTACGCTTGCCCATGAAGCAGAGGTTAGCCGTCGCAGGCATGTTCATTATGGGTGCAGCGTATGATTCCCTCTCCTACGCATCTATTCCATTCGACGATACTCGTCCAGGCTAACAACTAGAAATCAAGTGTCATCGCAATCAGCATTACTCGCATGGCCATGTACTTCCATGTCGGTACTACCTTTATGGAGCATTACAACGACGAAACATGTAAGTGGCCCACTCCGCCTCCGAAGTGGTTTCTAATATACGGTGATAGACTATACCTCTCCCGTGTTTTTCTGGACGAACATTGAGATTTCGCTCGCTGTCATCCTTGCCTGTCTTCCCACGTTGCGTCCACTCTGGATCATTATCCGGGGCAGACCTGTGACCTTTGGCTCCAAATCTTACGAACCCTACAGCTCCTCGAGACAGAGCGGTCGATCCGCCCGAAAACATAAGAGGATTCCGGACACAATCAACGAGTTAGACACGATCACTCTAGTTGAGAGAGGACCTGAGGCCTGAGGAAGATGTATGGCGTATTCATGACTGTAATTTATGACATGCTAAAAAGGATATTCTTTTGATTTTCTCCTTTCTGTCTCTCTCTTAATGTATACATCTAACTGTAAAGGTTCCCTATACATATATGGCTCGAGAGAGCTACATTCTACCTTCCTGTCTTGGACTGTAAATGCTCTCACACATATTATTTAAGACAACGTGTTTAGACAGTGATTCTATGACATGCCATGGAAACAACATTGAATAATTGTGATATAGTTATAGCGCCTACATACAATAGACAATACTCTATAGACACCAACCTAGGACAATAACTCAACAACTTGAACACGGCTAAAAGATCAAATCCGTTATTACCCGCAGCACATACAGCTTCACCGATACCCTAATATAGTCTTAATTTTTTTACATATTAATTCTCCCGGGGCGGGACGTTACCATTCCCACCACTATGAACGGAGGGAGGATCCGAGAAACCGTACCTTAATATGCGGCCTATAAAACCCTAAATAATAATACCTACTCGCAGGAGTTACGCAACCACTAACTAATAGCACCGTACCTTAAGGAACGGCTTGATTGGCGTCCCCTCACGCACACATCCCCACATCTAAATTGATTGACTGTATCCATTCGGAAGTCCGACTGGATGCCGCCGGGCATTGTCAATATAGCTTGAACACCTGGGGGTTCGAGAGGGTGGATCCCAAAGCCAATGTCAGGGCAGATTCGGTGCATGGGCCGCCAGGGACGGGAAGAATGACCAGGGGTGGGCTTTAGTGATCTTCGACGATACTTTCAAGTTATTGTTCGCGGCCGTTTAATATCGATTGTTTTCATGTGCTTTCTTTTTTTTTTTTTGGTGTAGTTTAGACCGAGGATCCTTATGTGACTACGGATTAGTACAGCACAAGCTATTGAGATTGGTAATAAAACATTTCAATAAACCGACATTAATTGACCAAACTGTATTCTAGGGTTAAGAAGCTCTAACTCAAATGGATTGGCTATTCCTCGGGCTTTGTAGATTATATCATCGGCTTTTTGTCCCTATATGGTTTCCTATAGTTTACGTTCAGAGAGATTGTTATTGATTTTCCGATACAGTCGCAGGTTTTATGTGTTATTTGTCCCGTCCCAGTCGTATATGGCCAACCCTAGGTAGATATCCCGTAGAAGGAAGGGTCCTCGTTGAAGAATATAAACACTATTTGAATCTGGGTCATCCATTCGAATCGAGCAATAACTTACGATGGTGATCACAAGGCCGCCATCTTCTCCTAAAGGGCAAAAGGGAATGATCCGGGTATACACTCCGGGAAAAGTGGTCAAGGATGAAACCACTTTATTCACGCTACCTTTCTGCTCAAATGGCGAGGGCTGGGCACTCAGCTGAAAAAGAAAAGCAAAAAAAATAATGTCTAAAAATCCTTTTAGGCTAGCCACAGTATATACTAATTTAACATATCATTTTCACAAGATTCACGGATTCCTAGCTCCGGAAAAGCTTCAATCCGCCCTCCTCACGATCCGAGTCACTTTCTTCAGCAGCACTAACATCCTCATCATCACCCTCTCGTAGCATCCCACTTGCTGTCTTTCCGAGGAGAGAAGCAAAGAACTCCTCCCGGGCATGGCTGGTCCATGCACCTCGATCCTCTGGTGCCATAAAGTTCTGCAGCTTCTCATGGACATCAAAGCGCATCTTCCGTCCCTTCGACGCACGGGTATCCACATCCCTTTTAACTTTGTCCTTGCGCATTCCGGTCACAGGGTGAACAGAAAGACCGCGAGAAGGCAGTTGAATATGCAATGTATCGATACCGTTGGTAATAGCGTCGGAGGAGGACATGCGCTGCTCAACAAGGTCTCGGAGGAGAGACTGGTAGAAGACGGTATCGTCGTAGACAGGTTCTTGGTCCTCATCAGTAGAGCTATCATTCGCTGTACGCGCGCGCTTGGCAGCACGATCAGTTTCAGATGCAACCTGCGCATCTAGGACGGCGGTAATGCTCTGTTGCCCGCTAGCGGCCGAGCCCAGGAGTTTTCCACGACTGTTAGGAATCGTAGCATTCGACCCGCGTACCTTGAGCGACCACTTATCAAGGATGGTTCGGCGGTGGGCAACTGAGTCGGACTCAAGATCCGCCATGCGCTTCCACAATGAAGCGGTAGATGTACTTGGGGAGACTGCGGAAGGTCGTTTCCTCTTCTTCGATTCGTCTTGAGTCTGCGCGTCTGCGAGAGCAAGGCGCAGGTCTTCGAGAGTAGACCAGAGAGCTAAGGCGGCGGATTCGGCGGACTTGATAGCTTCACCATCGAGGTCCTCCTCTTCTTTGGCTGCGACGGACAGCTGGTTGATCGCGGTGAGACCCTTTTGCAACTTGATACGGGTGTTCAGAAGCGCATCAAAAGTCGCACGCTGCTGCTTAACAGCCTTTCCTTTGACTGCATCGGCTTTAGCAGCTTGGGATATGGTAGCCGTAATGGTCTTCTGATCAGAAGCCATCAGTCTGCGTAGCTCTTCCCGATCATCTGATTTTGCGGGTTTTGCGAACTTCACACGACGAGCAGAAGATTCCTCCTCCTCATCGTCGTCTTCCTCGTCATCATCCTCTTCCTCTTCATCCTCGTCTTCGTCTTCGTCGGAGGGCATCTCATCGTCCATATCATCCTCGTCGAAATCTTCCGAATCCTCGTCGCTCCCAATGTCCTCCGAATCATCTGATCTCATGTCATCGACAATCCTTGCGCTATGGCCCTTCTTCTGAGCTGCCTTCGATTTTTGCGGTTGCTCCTCATCGCTCTCTTCCGACATGTCCTCGTCCTCGTCGCTTCCTAGCTCAAGATCGTCCTCGTCCTCGTCCTCGCTACCCTCCTCCTCATCACCAGACCGTGCCTTAAATGGATCGTCATCGCTATCAGCATCGAGCGCATCTCTGCTAACCCGTGCACCGGCATATTGTTTCCCTAGATCAACCGGGTCCTGCTTGCGAAGCTTCGCCTTGCTATATTCAATTAGCGCTGACAACACAGAAACATAATACACCCAAACTCACCCAACAGCCTGATAATGTTCCCTTCCAGCACTCGAATCAGCGGCGCGACCACCCTCATCCTCACTATCAGAGCCACCACGCTCCAAGTCCTCCGGATCGAAATCTGTCGCAAAAAAAAGAAAAACGGTTAACGTCGCAACGCCACAGATCACAATGCCGAAAATTCCCCACCTTTCGGAGTCGGATCCTCCAATTCAGCAATTTGCTCCGCCAAAGACTTGGGCCCCATTTTGAATATACCTGCGTGTCCCGGTATCAATATTGTTTGCGGATAATTTTTTTTAAGCAACTTTTATTTTTCTGCCGTAGAAAAGTTAGTAGGCGGTGACGGATTAACATCCCCGAATAGCTCGCGGAGCTTGCTTGTAGGGTATGTTATTCCGGCGGTGGGGGTTTTATTCCCGGCAATATGAATGACATCGGGTGTGGATTTATCAGCCAGAAAGAAGGTTGACATCTTTTGCGATCGACCTTGAAGAAGGTCATAATGATGCATTCCGCCATGTTACGGAAGAGATTCTTCTCGACTTTTCGTACTTTGCAGCATGATAACCCGCTGGTACGTACTTCTGCACCCTAGAGTAATTCGGGTTGGATTCTAATGTCATTGTTGTCTAGGGTCTTCCTCGCTCCGGCACGCCGCCCTCATTCCCTCGTCGCCGCGGATTGCCGGAGAAGCGCAAGATTCGCGATGTGAAAAAGATTATCGCGGTTTCATCTGCTAAGGGTGGAGTTGGGAAATCTACGATTGCTGGTGCGTTATATACATACCCATTGGCCCTGTACTCTGTTCAATATAGGTTATCCACCCATGACCTACCACCTCTTGATATATTCAGAAGTATATACGGAACTCAACATGCTAACTCAATAAAAACAGTAAACCTAGCTCTCTCATTCGCACGCCGCGGAATCAGAACAGGAATCCTCGACACCGACATCTTCGGGCCATCCATACCAACACTCCTCAACCTCTCAGGCGAACCCCGACTAGATGAAAGTGCGCATCGCATTCCCAATCTCATCTTACCCAAATCAAAATCAACACTAACAATCCCACCCGAAACACAGATAACTGCCTCCTCCCATTAACAAACTACGGCCTCAAATCAATGTCTATGGGCTACCTCCTCCCACAACCGACACCCTCCCCCGAAGACCCCTCCACAATCCCTATGGACACAACACCCATCTCCTGGCGCGGTCTTATGGTTACGAAAGCAATGCATCAACTCCTCCACTCCGTCTCCTGGGGTCCTCTTGACGTTCTCTTCCTCGACCTTCCCCCGGGTACAGGGGACGTCCAATTAACGATTGGCCAAGAGATCATCGTTGACGGTGCGGTGATCGTGTCCACGCCGCAGGATATTGCTTTGCGAGATGCGGTAAGGGGATATGGGATGTTCCAGAAGATGGATATTCCCGTTCTGGGCATGGTGAGGAACATGGCTTTTTTCGCGTGTCCGCAGTGTGGGCATCAGACGAAGATCTTTTCGCATGGTGATAAGATTGATGGGTCAGGGCATTCTCACCAAGCGGAGGACTGGGGTGTTGTGGCAGAGTGTAAGAGATTGGGGGTGGAGTTCCTGGGGGATATTCCGCTTGATGCCAGGGTCTGCGAAGATGCCGATCGGGGCATGCCTACGGTTGTTGCGGAGGAGAGTCAGGATCGGAGCGTGAGAAGAAAGGCCTTTTTAGATGTTGCAGAGAAGGTCGCGGGGAAGGTTGGGATTGAATGGTAATTGGGATAATGAAAATCTCTTGTATGGCCCAGGCTTTCTTTGTATTATATTAAGAATTTATATACCCGGCTCAGGCCTTGATGGATGTGAGTGTTCAACATGCTTTTTGGACTATATTGTAGCTATCTAAAAAAAAAATAATAATAAACAAAATGAAAATAAGATACCATATATGACACAGGGATAAGGGGGCTCAGAGCCAGGGTATTGAGGGACTGACGTATCAAACAGAAAGAGTATATAATCCAAAGACCAACCAGACTCCCAAACATATGAAAAGAAAAGTGGTAGGCGTTCGTGTATGAGGTACCATCATGTACATCACCTTTGGCAATAAGTGTATCTTCAAGTTTCAAAGAAAATTAGATAACATAATGACAATGACAGGTATTTCCAAATCATATATGTCCAGATATTGTATATTCAAATCTTTGCTTTGCAGTTTTATTTATGTATATCAAGCTACAGGGTGCTCCTGCGCAGTTTTATAAAACTCCCGGTCGGCCATTCCCGGGCGAGAAACGGTGCGAGAGATATCTCCTTCCGTCGTCCTCTCACCAAGAGAAGTGGTCTCAAGGTCACCCGAGTCGCGACGTATAGAGTAGAAATCAATGGAACGATAGGCCGAGTCACCATCGTTGATCAGGCCCACGACTCCGACAGAGTTTCGTACGGCCCGAGTACTAGCGGCATCGACGCCGGTGTTGGTAACAGCGAGCGATCTGTCTCCGAGAGTACTGGTATCATCTGCAACATGGGATGTGATGCCGCTTCGAATAGTGCCTGACCCTGCTTGGGACACCGGTCGTTGCTTTCGGGCCATGGATAGGTCGGAAGTTGAGGCTATAGTTCCTCGTGCGTGGAAAAGTGCTTGCGTGCTCGCGTTTTCCTCCGTGAACCTCTTCTCGTCATATGGGGGCAGGAGTATCATAGGACTGGAACTCTTATCGTCAAGCCTGCGAGAGACATCTTCCTCGGTTCGGGTTTCTGAGCTCTTTGTCTCGTCTGATGTATCCTGAATAATTTCTTAGCATCGACGACAATGGTCTTCTGCTAGGCATGACTAACCTGTTCTTTATCCGGAGAGACACCGTTATCAGCGTCTGTTGCTTTCATGCAAGCTCCGGCACGTCCAGCTTCCACACTGGTTCTCCTAGATTGTCCCTCTTTCTCCTTCTTGTGCTCCCTTTGCAGGCTCCTTTCGTCATGTCTGCTGGCCCAATTGCTCCACATTGTCATAGGGTAGCTCTTTCGACCACCTCGAGATGGCATGACTCCAGGGGCAGACCTTCTCGCCGCCAGTGAACTGGGAGGGGGCACCTCGCCCACAAAATCTTGTTGGAAGCACTGGGCCAACTCTTTAATTCGTTGGCGCTGGACATGAAGCTTGTCCTTGGCGTACTTCACATCCCATTCCTTTTTCGCCGCAAGCCATTTCTTGACCAGTTCTGGATTGATGGTCCCGACTTGTGTACTTGGGATTTGAAGGACAGGATACGAAGCCTGGGGTTCCAAATGATATATATGACCTCTTTTGTCGACCCTTTGACGAATCATGCGCTCTTTGAACGGAGGTAACCGATCGCCAGCCTTCCCGACAGATGCCACAGACTGTTTCGAACTCTCTGATTGAGGCGCATTTGCGGGTTTGTCTGGGTCTTCCGAGCTATCGGACGATATAGGTGAGATCTCCGTGTCGTCCAGAATTTCAATCTCTGTTTGTTGAGCACATGCAAGAGCCCATGCTCCAAACTGTGCGATTGATCGAAACATGTATTTCGCTGGGCGAGTGAAACTCAAAGTGGTCGCAACATGACAAAGATCATCCCAAACTTGAAGCTGGACGTGGGTCCCGGGGTATTTGTGTAGCACTTCACGTTCGGGGTCGTACTCGTCCAGGAAAGCATCACTGGGCGGGTAAGCAGTCGGATTCGCTGCTTTATGAGCAACGTAGAATTGCTCGTCTCGTAGCATTTCTCCACCACCGCTTAAAATCTGCAAAGGCGGTAGACCTCCCAGGGACGGTTGTAGAACAGGAGAAACGAGTGGGTGGAATAGGAGTTGGTTGGTCGTATACATATGAATTTGGTCCTTGATCTCAACGGTCTTACCATCAATGAGAATCCTAGGGTTAACAGGCTCCTTCGCTGCATTCATAGATTCTTTGGCCGTTGGGTTTTCGAGAACCGAATAACCCTTGACAGCTGTCTCCTGAGCCTGACTGCCCGTAGGCGGGATCGCCTCTTGTGTACCGTCTTCGGTAGCAGGCCGCTTCCCGAGGCCTTTCTTGATGGCTTCAATTTCATCCGAGTTTGGCGGCGGCCAGGCGGCGGAAGGCTTGTGCCTGAAACCGTATGGTGGTATATAATCACCAGGGTTATCCTTCACTATACTAGGAAAGGAATGAGTGAGGTCAACCCAGGGTGAAATCAGGATCGCTCCTGCAGGCAGAGGCAGGCCCTGATCACGAAGAATACATAGCAGGCTTTTACAATGTTAGCTATGCAAGCTTTCGTCGGGTGCGCATAACGTACGAGAGTGCCATTCCTCCGCCGGCAGAATCTCCAGCAAATATGATCTCTTCGGGCTTGTGTTCTTTCAGAAGGAAAAGGTAGGCAGCCAAGCAGTCATGCAGGCTGCAAGGAAATGGGAACTGTGGAGCTAGACGGTATGCCGCTGCATCAAACATACTCAGCGCTCTTCCAATAAACAAATCTCCAAGGAGCAATCATCAAACTCACTAGACTGGCATTAGCATGATCACAACAAGTCAACCAGAACACCTAGAACCTACCGTGCAAACACTCGTCCCTTGAGCTTCCTGGCATGACGTTGCATTTGATACCGATGCGTCTCTAAACTTCCAAAGTAATACGCTCCACCGTGTATGTAGAACATAATGCGTTTCTGGCTCGGATGAATCCCGTGAATCTTTCTAGTTCGTGTTCTCTCATTGTAATCATTTCTCATTTCGACCCACTCGCCTTTCAATTCATCTTCTAGTCCGCGCCATTGCCACCACTCTTTCCCTCCAACCTGTGATAACCCCTTGGGACCCAATTGGTCGATCAGGGCCGTTGCGGCAGATGACAGATATTGAGTGGGTATGGTAACCATTTCTGTCCTCACCCAGTGAGGATTGGGGACTCTCTGGCTCGTGAAGGATTGAAGGTCCTCGACGGAGTGCTTGGCCGAGTAGGCGAGGAATTCACGGAATATCCGAACACCTTCATCATATTCGATGTGGACGCTTGGTTTATGATGGAGTGATTTACGGTGCAAATACTGGAAGGAAAGACATTGTTAGCTAGTTCACCCCTTGGGAAAAAGGAAAAAGAGCCCAAATGAAGCCCAGTGTAGAATGGCGACCCACATGAGAGAAGAATGTCGAGATCACAGCAGGGGTGAGGGCCACACTAAGTGCGACCGTGTTCAAGGGCATCCTGCACTGGTGGTGGTTTTTCTAGGAAATGTATAGTGACGGGGGCAAAGCTAGTCCACGAGAAAAACCGGTTGGTTATAGAATAAAACCAGCGATAGCGTAATAATAAATAGAGCCCAACACTGCCACTGGGTACTAGTATGTGGCAGGTAAGGGGGGCTGAACGGGCAACGATGTGATCCGAGGATAATGGGTTTGGCTAGGTACGAACTGGACCCATAGTAGCAGTAAAACAGCAAGGCCCAGAGACGATTGATTGGACATTGGCAATGAGCAATTGAGAATTGCAACTTTGGATTGGACGGACTGCAGGGGGAGAAGCATCTCATTGATCAACCCAAGGACATGATGTCATTGGACACGCTATTCCCTTCTCGGCCGATGCGTTGTTGTATCGCGAGTGGAGACTGCAAGAGGCAATCGTTATGGCGCTCCCAATTTCTTAAATTGTCTTGGCAAATTGCGACTATCTGTACTCAGTATGTTGTACTCAGTATGTTGTTTGTTGATCGTGCTCTGGACGGAGTCTGGAACGGTCGCTGTGCAAGCGCCGGTACTCCTCCCTTTATAGCTGACAACGTGTCAAGCGTCTCCTATAAGCTTTTATCATCGAGCACCACATTCAGTTCTTATGAACTTCGCGGCTCGCTTGAAGCTTATCCAGTGGATCTCAATGGTATCTCGAGTCGCACGCGTTGATTTTCTGTGCAACAGCCGTATAGTGGGGAAGTGGCCACATGAGACCAAGAGAACGGGCCGCGGGATACTGTACTTGCATTTGCTCTCCGGATCCCGTACCCTAGGTACTCGGGCCTTGAGACGCTGATCATTGGCCATATGCCAATATATACTAGCAAATGAGTTTAAGTGTGTTTCGTCTCGTCATCCTTTCATAAGGGATTAGCGGGAAGGAGGCTATTTGGTACAGTTTTGTTGGCGGGGAACCGTCACTGCCAAAGTGACGATGCTTTGGGCCCATTTATAAACTCTAAATGCATGCCTAGTACTAAATAGCTTATTCATCCCAGGCCCTTGCAAGACTCCAATACAATTTAATTGTAATACAGTAACAAAATGAACCAAAACCATTAACTCCCGCTTATACTAGGAGCCCGGTGTCGTCATCCTTTCAGCTTTTTATTGATACCATCGAAAATTCCGGCAATTCCTCGATCCCAGGTATGATCACTTTTCCAAATTGCACACTGAAGTCATTGCGGCTGCACAAACCTTTATTGGGAGCTCCTTCGTAAATAATGGTTGATCAAGTAGGAAATCATTATCCCCTCCGCTCGGTGAAATTCGACAACACTTAGGAAACTAACAATAGCGGTAGAGTGTCAAGAGAAGCTCCTTGCAGAAAAGTCGATTGTTAAGATTGCTGTTTTTAATACCTCGGAGAAGCTTTGGAATAATGTGATTTAAGATTCATATTTAAAAAGTTAGTTCTATATAATGACAGATTTCTTGGATGCAGGATATGCCTGTCTTGCTTCTAGAGTAGGGCTTTTGGACGAGTTGTTGGAACTGATGGCTTCTTAGACAAGCCGGTAATTGGCGGTTCAACAGCCTTGGAAGGACATTGCAGCGACTATATACAGGAGAATAAAAAAAAGCGCTCAAATCTAGAAGTAACAGCCGCAATCATCGTGTAACCTGCACTGATTTGCTTTCAGTGTGGCATTGCCATACTCTTAGTTCCTCTTCAGGAAAGTCAGTGCTCCAAGAGCGATCCCATCAATTGCAGTACCAAGAGTCGGTTGAATCACCGGAGCAAAATATGGGGAGTGATTACTAGGTAGCTGATCAGTGGTACCCTGCTCCACAGCATCATCCCATGTTTTAGGGTCAACTCCACCATATGTCCACATCACATACGGTGCTCCTACCGCCGTCGCAAGAAGAGAGAAGTCTTCACTTGCAGTCGCTGGATCTGATTCCACCAGGTTTTCTCCGAAATATGATCTAAATGTATTTTGGAGAGCCTTGACCGTAGCCTCATCGTTGATAGTCGCGGGAGCAGAAAGTATCTGCTTAACAAGAGGTTTCTCGACGGCACCTCCTGCTAAACATTCTGCTTCGATAATTCTCTTCACGGAGGATATAACGCGGTCGCGGACCTTGGGATCGTATGTCCGAACATTAAGCTTGAGATCCAGCTGATCGGGGATAATGTTCGCTACATGGCCGGCTTGGATGCTTCCAACACTGACAACAGCCAGTTCACCTGGCATCACTTCGCGGCTGACGATACTTTGCAGACGCGTTACAATTGTTGCACCGATAACGATGGGATCGATGCATGTCTGAGGAGCCGAGCCGTGTCCACCGCGCCCATAGATGCGCACATCGAACGAATCAGCAGCCGTGAGCAGCCGACCTGAACGAATACTGACTGTGCCAGTTTTCATCTTCATGACGTGCTGCGACAGGACAACGTCTGGTTTGGGGATCTTCTCGTACAGCCCATCTTCGATCATCGCTTTTGCGCCGGACAGTAGCTCCTCTGCCGGTTGGAAAATGCAGATCAAGGTACCGGACCAGTGATCCCGGGCGGAATGTAAAAGTTCAGCACTCGCCATGAGACTCGCGACGTGTGTATCGTGACCACAGGCATGCATTGCCGGTCTTTCCACTCCGTCTTTATCTTTGACGATTTTGTTGCTAGCGTACGGCAAGCCAGTCTTTTCCTCTAGAGGTAGCGCATCCATGTCGGCTCGCAGCAGAACGGTTGGCCCATCGCCATTATGGAGAATGCCGGCAACTCCATATCCACCAATGTGTGTGTGAACCTCAAACCCCAACTTTTTGAGATGATCTGCAGCAATAGCCGATGTGTTCTCTTCTTGAAAGGCTAGCTCGGGGGAGCTGTGCAACTGGCGATAGACCTCTTCAAATGTCTTTAGGTCTGGTCGGTACTTCTCGATAAGGGCCTTTAGGCCATTATTTCCTAATGAAGATATTAGCATCGAACCCTGATCGCAATCCGATACGGGACGAACGGATCTACTTGGTCTCTCACCTTTTACTTGCATGATTATGGGAGACGGTCAAGTGAGGGCGGGTGAAAAGAGCAGAATGAAGACAGAAGTCACATTGCGGGAGCATGTGCGGGGTTGAATTCGGACACTTCTTATTTATGAATGACATGCAGAATCGTAGATCGGTAGTAGGAAGAAGAGAAAGGCGGGGAGAGGCGTCAAGAACCGATACGTTCCCCAGAGTCCCCACAGCGTCGGCAAAGGGCCCAGTGGTGATAAACGACTCGGCAAGCTGCAGTTTATCTGTTGGTGGAATAGACGAGATAACGGACAAATCTCGGGGAATACGAGACAGCCGATAATCAATTGCGGTTGGACAATTGGTTGCACCCGTCAGATATGATCTATCGCATGAATTCATAGTGAGTTAGATACTACTACGTTCTCCAGACAACAGCACAAATTACTCAAGGCGTACGTACAGAGGTCACCCAATGCTCTAATAATTATGAATACCAGTTTCCTACATAGATATTGGTTCAGTTTGGGTAATTGTACATTCTTTACCATTCACCACATTATTCTTGTAGTATAACTACATGGTGTAGCTGACTAGCATTTAAGTTCACCAGGTCAATTCTTCATAGAAATTATTCCCTCATGCAGTTTCTTAACTTCGCCTTCCAAACATGAAAATTGGGAATATTTCCCACTAATACATAACCAGGATATATCAATCCATTGCATATACTAATTGAGTCTATTGAACATACCCTGCTACGATGTAGCCAGTGGGAACAATTCCGCTATTCGGCCGGTTTCACAAGACAGGGATTCCTAGTTTAAGGTTCCGGGGCCTTGATAGTTTGTCGGATTCTCTTTGTGATCGATCATTAAATACTCTTTCCATAGGTGGAGTAGGCTTTGGCTAGAGCTCGGTTCTACGGACAAAGTTTTCTGAGTGCATATCCACAATTATTCTCTTTGTTGTGACCACAGCATTCATCGAAATCCGGGGTAGTCAGGCACCACTTGTAGATCCATGCATTATGATAACACAATTCACAAACAAAAGAGAGTTTGTTCTGCACGTCTATTAGAGCGATTAACCCTCAAATTAACTATTTTACAAAGGTACAAAGACTAGACAGAAAGTATATCTATGTGGAGTTTTTATTAACTTACCCTAGAAGATTTACCCACTATAAATTGTCGACTATTTCTTCTTCTCTTGCTCCTCCCTTCTCTAAGCTCATAACTCCTCACGACATCCTTAAATTGTCTAACACTTGAAGCACTATCACCCTCTAACTAATCAAGAACATTGGTCTCAGCACAATGAATCTGTTCAGTATCCTCACCCTTTCTGCCCTCCTCAGCATGGCCAATGCAGTAGCCATCTCCCGGGATACCAGTCCTGCTACTCCGAAGGAGTTTAGAGTCCTCAACAGATGTCACAACATCTGCACCGGACACAACGACTGCCCAGAGAGCTGTCCCTGTGACATGCACAACATCTGCGCACCCAAATGTATGTCCACAAGTCTCACTCCAATTATGCAAGCGGACTTCTGAAGCACTAACATAAAACAAGCGAAATAAGAACGGTTACACGCAACTGAACTCAGTCTTTTCATAGCTCAAATGGTCCGGTTACCCCAGATTTTATACGCGTCTCTAGTACTGATAAAACAACAGACTGCTGTCGAGTCAGCACTCCGCGTCATACTGATACTTCAGCTGGAAACACTGGACTGGATCCATCGAAATATCACCGATGACCCGGACAATGGTGTCTGGTTGACGGTTGCTTCTACTTTACTTTAATTTGTCTTGAACCAGCCTTGATAGTCTTGGTCGCTTGGACGGGCGGTTTGTACTGGCTTTAGTATAAATCAAGTGGTTGGTTCATTGGGTCTACGTTGTTATTGAGCTTAGTGATAATAGGACAGAAAATTGTAACGCGTCAGGCACTTAACAGGTTGGCTTGTTTTGTTACTCGTTACGCGATTAGCCTCTGACTGCGTTCCAGTTGAATTGTAAAGGTGTCATTAATCTCAGTATAGTCATACAGTTGTATATGTGAAACCTGTTGGAGCCAGGTTAATCTGCTGTTCAAGACAATGATTTTCAATAATCTGTTGACTGTTTACGAAATATTTGGATACAAGTTCATACCATGCATGTATAAAACGGGTCGCGCCGTATAACACGCCCACATTACAAGTGACGGATGAAGCAACCCTTGATGAACCGCTACATAACTAGGGAAATGTACTACAAAAGCAGATGTTGCCTGAATTGCAGGCTTATTCGACCAAGGTGGCCTATTTCTGCAGCAGCCTACGCTTTTTGTAGCCGCATGTGGATCCTATCCGAAGTGGAGCCCAGGGTCATCCGTCCGATGGTGAACCACCAAAAATTTTCGACCGCATTCTTCGCAATGAACAAAAAGTTAAGCCGAACGCGGGGGTCGAACCCGCAACCTTGAGATGCCGTGATGACTAAGAGTCTCACGCTCTACCGATTGAGCTAGCCCGGCTTGAGTTGTTGAAGCAGTCAGGTAGTCCGAATTATATCGTGACGAATGATGTTGGCTGTTGTGTTCTGTCCTGTGTAGATAGTAGTCAGCGCCCCATGCCTCCCCGCCGGCTTGGAGCTGATACCGGCTGCAGCGGCTCATCCAAGAAGTGGCAAAGGGTGAAATAGGGTGATCGATCCTTCAAAGAGCTAGGCCTTGCAGCCTAACATTGATGTTCATAGAGGAAGATGCCATTGGTGTGATCGTCAGTTACCCCTGGTCGGCCAGACAGGTCAATGCCATTACAGTACAGAGTGGTCACATTGGGACAGGCAGCAGTGCCTATCCTCCGAATTTGACCCCTCCCTCCAAGGAAAAGCACGGGTTACGCGCTCGTGCCGCTAGCCATCTGTGTCATAAGGTTCTCATGGCTCTCGAGACACTAGCCAAGGCAGAATTCAACAGTCCGATTTGTGTCGCAATACATTCTATTTTGGTCGCCGCGATGAGGACTGGGGATCGTGGACCAGGAAACTGCCACTGGACAAGTGCGACACCAGATTGATAGGGTGAAACAAACTCGACAGCTTAGACGTCATTGCGCGCGTCAAATTGAAATTCAATTTTGTAACCTTGGCCTTTTGCTGATCAGTGGAAGTGAACAAGTGCATTTATTTCGGGAGATTACCTATGCACGGTGAGCATCTGACATTGCGTGCAGCCAAATATGGCGCTTAACCGTAATGGTGGGAGACGAAACGAAGCAACAATAGCCAGTGGCATCTGTGGCTGAGGCTGAGTCGTATTCCAAGGTACCTGCTTGGAAGACTGAGGCTGAGACGGCGCGACCCCTGAAACCTGAATAGGTCTAGCGACCCCTTATCAATATGGCCCCGGTGATCCCATCCATCGTTCGTGTTAGGACGGTTAAGTCCCGACTTATTCTTAGAACAGAAGCGAAACGAACCAAAATAGACGAGATGAGGTAGATGGAGTTCCAGGATATTGTAGGTTACCAACAGAATGGTTCCAAACGATCTACTGTCTCAGAAAGCATCCGCGATTGTGGTCGGCGGCTGCGAAGCAAATGAGCGTAGAGGAACAGTTCGGCGGTTGCTGTTGCTTACCCCACGGAGTAGAAGGGCGTTATCAACCAACAATTATGATAAAGTTAATGGCATGCAGATGCAGGAAATAATGCAATGGCCCAGGGCTGCATTTCCAGGGGTGGTAGCGCAGCGAACTCTTTCGGTATTACAGAAGAGTAATACGGAACATAAGATAGTGGTGGCAGTTGGGGGTGAGATTGATGTCGTGAGTGCGGCGCAGGCAGAGGAGAACACGAGAAGGTCAAGCCACTCAAGCCACAGTGATCCTTGTCAAAAAGATATCGGAGACTACTATCGTCATCGTTTCTCCGACAGACAAGCAACGATGACTCGAAGTGTCCCCCGACACCTCAATCGGGTAAGCCACAAGTTGTTTGGAGGGGATCTAGACAAGGGTCCCTAACCCCAATGGTACTAGTTGTAATGGTGTGGAGCCAGGCAGAATGCGGGTGAAAAGGAGGATTGACCGACTTGTTCATACGGATGGTCCAATCAGATGGCCTAGACCCTCTGCAACACTCGCGATCAACCGGTATGGTCATGGAGGAAAAGCACTGCCTGCACGCACCAGCCACAGGTCCCCCGCCAGTGAGAGTGCCTTGTTTGAGCCTTAGGAACCACTCTCGTGGTCTCGTTCAAGGTTAGCGTCGAGTCACCCGCCTTTCGGACCCTAAGTTACTGTATCACTGAAGAAATTCAAAACAACTTCTTGCACATCATCTGCCAGGCTACCATCCACACTGTGATTTAATTTCGTATCGTATTGAATTTCATGGTATAACATGATTATTATTTTTTATTTTATTTTATTTTGATCGTTCACCCTAGTCTTCTTGTGATCAGTGCGGTCATAGCACAGACCCATCCTAAGTACTGGTTTGTATGCTTTTGAACATGGATGCCTCCTTCAAGTTCATTAGTATATAATCTTGCTCACCCCCCACCGTTATTGATCCTCTTATCCACTTTTATACCTACACATTCTTCCAGTATAATTCCTGCTGCCTATTCCTGAATACAATATAAACCCCTCTGTTGCCAATCCACCTCAGTCTTCTGTATCCTCTGCTATCGCTCCCAACCAGTTGCGCAACTATACCGTCAAACTTCGTCACAGTGTCTCCCCGAAGATCTTCTCGTTTCCTCACCCTGCCTCGACTCTTCCCCATACGAGATACGATTGTCCACCAAGAAACTCCAGGTAGAAGACGGTCATTGCGACGTTCTTCCACGATGCCTGCCCCAGTCGATGTCGTCGATCCCGTCTTGCCGGTGCGCGAGCTCGAGGCTGACGAGGAGTATGTAATGGTCGCCTTCGAGCGCCATGCAAGCCACTGCACTCGATGCGCGGATCCCCTCAAAGCGCGCAAAGAAGACCGCTCTCTCTGTGAGCGTGGACACCAATACGCCGTCGACGTTGCCGACTACCTTTACAGCAAGAACGGAAAGTCATACTCGACCCTCGACCGTGAGCGCAACCAGCCGACTCTCGTCAAGATCCCCCGCGACTGCCGCGCTGTACGCGCACTGCTCCTCGCCATTGAAGATGGTCTGCGCCTGAACCGCAAAGAACAGGGTGCTGTCCAGCCTCCTCGGTCACCATCACCGATCATCACCTACGACCGGACTTACCCCGTTCCTCCTCGCCGATCGACAAGTCCCCAACAGCAACCTGTCCCATACACTGAAATCATTGAGCGCGAGCCGCGTGACTCAATGCGTCGTCGGGTCATCGTCTACTCCTCTCCTCGTAGCTCACCCAGCCGGAGCTCACCCAGCCGGGGTTCGCTGTACGAGTCTGACGCAGCGGAGCGCAGACGCTTCAGGGAGTCCTCGCGGATCTACAGACCCACCGAATACCACCGTTGAGCGTTTTCACCCGTCCAGCTTCTGATCTATCTTTTCAGTCTACCTCTATACGGACCACCATACAGCCGTGCTGCAGGCAGTGCTATTCGATCTCTGTCGTCTTTGCGCACACAGACACACATACGATTCAGCCGGGCAGGGCCCAGCTCATGCGCGGATCCATAACACGCACAATGTGTCCATCCGACTTCAGTCTTAACTGATACGGATGTTCCCGCCGATTGGCGTCTTCAGTGGGGTTCCTTCCCTCGCAAAGAATGGTTTCCTATGTGATTTAGCCATCTTACTTTGAAGACATTGCCTCTACGCTGTCCGAAAGGACACCTTTACAGAAAACCCAAAAACAAACGGGGAAAATCCAAGAAAATGAATAAAAAAGGTGGTGCTTACAACAAGTTGCAAGTTTAGTCTGTTGGACGTTTCAGTTGATGTGATTGGAAGAGGATATGCATGCAGGGAGTGAGTCATGAGCTTTTACTTTCTGCGAACCTCAGGCTTCAGCCGATGGTATTGGATGGAGTTTACTAGTTGTACTTCTCCGCACACCCTCAACATTGCTTGACATTCATTGGAGGATACTTTTCCTATGTTTACTATGACTCTAGTATGACTTGATGTATTTACGAAGACTGTGGAGAAACACATACACACACAGGAAAAAAAAAAAAAGAAAATAAAAGAAAAATATATATATAAATATATTTATTTATTTATAAAATGACCTACTTTTGTAAGTAAATACTAGTATAAGTAACTTTCTTGTATAGAGTAAGAGATAAAAGACTTGTTCTAGACAACGTGACTTCATGGGAATTTTACCGACCAGTGAGTCATAGGTAATTACTACTAGTAGCAATACATTTATGCATACAAGTTACAACCCCACCTTTAATAGCATTCCTTAATGCTGCTCCCTTAGAGTGTATCTTCGACCTAATGCATCCTGCACGTTATGGTTATGTTAGTCCAATACAGATCCCAGGATCTTAATACTGTCCGTAAATCAGGTGGATTAGGGCTGTGCCGGACACAGGTTGTATACTTCCGAATGATTACTATATGGAATATTGGAACTGGTTAATTTGATATTAGACTAAGAAGAAGAAAAAGAGTATAGATATTACTAGAACTGGAATTATAGACAAGGGACCATAATGAGGGGGAAAGCTTAACAAATCTAATATAAATAGGGTAAGAGCTAATCTTGTGAACATTGACAACCTTGATTCGGAGGTGATATTTGTCTTTCCCTTGCATAGTCCGGAGTTGGTATATCTCAAAAAAAAGAAAGAAAGAGAGGATAAAAGATATATGGATAGGATTGGATTTTGATCGAGCAAGAAGATTGATACTTATACGCATATCGATTCATTCTGGGGATATCCGTACACTGAGTAGAATATCTATGTAGGTCTAGACTACGATCATTCCATCTTCCAGACCGTGCATTTTCCATTATAATACTTCGTCAAAAACACAAAACACAACTAGTGTCCTTGAGTGTTACAAGAGAGTAAAGTAGAGTATAAGGTATAAAGACTTTTCTTTGTTAAACCTACTGCTACCCTGTGCACGATGAGAGAGTTTCCACAAAGCTGACCTACCAAACCCACGACCAGGAACACCGAGGGTCGTCTATATCTGAGTCAAAACTCCCAATAAATGATTTTGATATCTTTCGACTGATTAGGTTTCTGTTGCAGGAAGCAAACAGTGGAACGAGCGCCATCTCCCATTCACTGGACCCTCGTCAACCGTGGTAAGGCCGTGGAGAAGATTACCGCCCTACCATGTCAGGAAGTTCCAGACCTTTCCCCTCATTTTGATTAACCTGATTTGTTCCTTTGCGTAGAATCTCGTCTGTTGTCGTGTTGAGTTCTGTTCCTGGTGGAGCTCCCTTGAGCTCATTTTCTCCACTATCTTCAACGCGTTCTATACCAGGCTTGCCTTTCATTCTATCAAACTACTCGAACCCCTCACCTGTCTTCTGTCACGTCTTATCTTCTGTTGAAGTCACGTTCTAGTGTTCTTCTTCTGGTCTCTTTTTCCTACCGTGGTGCTTTGAAAGCAGTCCTCGCCAAAAGAAGGCTTCAACTTCCCATTGACCCCCATCTCTCAACATCATCACCAAACATACAAAGAACACACAATCTCCTTACCTAGATATCCCTCATCATCCCAAAAGATGGCAGACAGATTCGAGCCTGACAAGCTACACAACGAGCTAGACGTCCTGGTGAACTATACCGACATCGAAAGAGATCTCGAAAAACGTTTTCGAACCTCCTACTCACCCTTCACCCCCGCTATCCACCGCCCCATCGGCCCAGATGCAATCGACCAGTCGTCTCCCATGTCTACAACTTCTTACTTGCTCAAAGCTCATCTCCCCACTGCAGCACCTGAGGAAGAGCACCGTACCCACGGCGAAAACGCACAATACAGCAGTGAAGAGGAGCCATCTCTCAAGGCGTCCATGCTCCAGGGGATCAGAACAATCGAGAAGAAAGAGCAGGTGTCCAGATGGCAAGGAAGTGTTGGTTTGGATCAACCCGTCTCGATGACAACCGGAATGGTCCACGATAGAGAGCGTCTGATTGACCTGGGGGAGCCCGAGATAGCAACCGAGAAGGCGACTTCATACAGTGGATCTGATGATGGGGAGTGGTTAGTCTTACGCCGAGTCCTCTGACAAAGGGCATGTTTTCTAACGAACAGATAAACAGTATTCAGCCGACGGGAGATATTGAGATGGCCAATGTGTCTGCTACAGAGGCACATGAAGCGTGGTCCAACAATGCGACAGACGAGATGGTAGATGACGAGAAGCCTGTTTTGTTTAAACGTGAGCGGAAGACCTCGCCAGAGTCTCCTGACGGTTTTGTCTTCAAGCGACGTCGTAGCGCTCGTCTTGCTGCTTTGCTCGCCAATCCGGAGTAACAACTGTTCTCGTTAATCTGGTGGTATGTGTGGGCTCCTTTTCCAGAATGACCATGGTGGTGCTAACAGGTGTCTTTAGGTGGGTAATTGTACATTAGTATGTTGGATGGTGTTGGACACCTGATGACCTTTCTACTTTCTTGCTTTTGAAGATACACGGTGCATCTCGTCTAATTTCTAATACCGGGCATTGGGTGGTGGACGTTAATTTGTATTGCACTCTCTTAACATAGGAAGCAATGCAGGGCATAATGGCTGGAAAGTCTGATATGTATTGACCAAACGGAGTGATGCTGTTGGCAAGACTCTTCTAGCTTCGATGACCATATCCCTTATATCATGCTGGGCTGGGTCGGCTCATGAATAACAAGGAATCTAATTTGGTCACTGCCAAGCTAGTACAATGATCAATAGCAGTATTTAGGGCATTACTTCCTCCACGATAGAGTCCTCAGAGGTTGTCTAGTTTGTTTTTCAATGTGCATCCGCAGAACTATAATCAAATGACCGGTGCTGAATTGATCAGCACTAACAGCACGCAAAGTCCGAATCGGCATCCTTCCACTAATTCACTCATATCTTAGCGAAATGAATCAGAAACAGGATTACCCTGTACTCCAAAGCTGTGGCGGTGCATCACCAGAGCTTCAACGACATATACAAGTCGCCTGACAATCCCGCAAACTTAACCGCCCACGAAAGCGATCATCATGATATTTATTACCAGCAGCAACAAGACACCACCATGTTAACAATAGTGACAACAAAACCCCACACCTTAACAATAATGGAAAAAACCCCGATCAAATCGGAGGTCGACAAGGTTCCCAATAACAAGATCACCAATTAGCTTCTAACCCGTAGATCGTCTCGGTTCAACCCTCCCGTTCAGAGAAATGCAAGATCCCATGTGACCACATGACACTACTAAAATGCAGACACCGCTCAGAAAACCCCCGGATAGGATAAGAAGGTGCACAAACACCCTCCATCAGGGATGCACACGGACACCTAACATGCATGAGAGTAGTTCCCGCCGCGGATTAAGCCGGCACTAAAGCAGCTGGAGGTATTAAATCCCCTAGCACGGTCCACGACTTGTTTTGTCGACCGGGATTGATCATGGGACGGTTCTATGCCGTTTTGAGTATACACCATGTTGTGGTCACCAGGTGTATGCGTATGTATCCATACAAAACCCGCCAATATGGGACTCTGACTCATGGTTATGACATTGTCCTCCTGCACGATATTCGAGGGCATGAACGCGTGGGCTGAGACACGTGGAGAGTGTTGGAAGTCAGTTGCGAAGAAAGAAGGACATGAAAAAAAGTAGAAGAAATATAGGATACAAGTCGGTTATTGAATAGACAAAGCTTTCATAAGATATGTAGATGTACTAAGCCCTTAGTAGGGTAGCCCTGCATTGACGATCGACCCAGTAGATTATACATATCTAGCATCCCAACGGAGCCACTAGTGATCTGCAGGTCAGGCGGCTGGAGAATTTTTCATGAAACCAAATTCTGTTTGAGATAAAGTTAGTCTAAGCAGGCTATTCTTGGAGATAGTGATATACCAAGAGTACTGTATGCACCCGTATCACCCGTAATTGTAGTCCTGATTTTTGTATCAGTGTAATAAAATATTGTATTAATTATGATTGGCCGTAAGTATGCTAACCCTACCAAGCTCCAAAAGATAAAAAGATGAGATAAAAATAAAAGATCATTTAATGTCGCGAAGGAGTGGTGGTTCAATAACTTCGGACAGATGCACAGTGAGTGCAGACGCTCGGTGGAAATCTCGAGACGAACCTGAACTGAAAAGCCATTGTTTAAGTTCCATCGTCACTTAGTGATAGGGCCACAGTCTATAGTGACTAATTAGCAGACCTCTAAAGGAAAAGAAGATAATATCCAGGATATTTTGTAGTTTTTGAGGAGAGGTCGCAATGGCGATGCTCCAGAACAATGAAAGCCAAACAAGACCCACATTTCCAACCATACCACTTTCAGATATAGAAGTCACGTGTAACTATCGCAAGTCCAAAGTTCTCCGCCGCATCTCCGATGATCTCGAATTCTTGAAATTAGGTGCCAAACACCCCAAAGTCTCGTTCTCCTTCAACTAGAGCCGCCAAAATGGCCAAGAAAGGTAAGCACCCATATACTCATACCATTGCACCACAGACTTGATGCGCTAGTAGCGCACGCCGATGGTTTGTTCCTAATCTTGTGCGGAGCTAACATCAAGACCAATAGCCAAGTCTCGTACCGTCGCCGTTCGTCTCATCTCCATGGCCATGACTGGCTTTTACCGGACGATGATCAGACCTCGTACCCATCGCCCCCTGAGCATGCTCAAATATGACCCCGTCGTGAAGAAGAAGGTGCTATTCCTGGAAGCGACAAAGGGCGGAAGAGCGAAATGAATCATTTTCTCTCACGCCTTCACACGATCAACCGCGCATACGCAGCTGAGATACAAGTCATGGCTCCTTCGACCCTGAAGCAGTGTCGGACAGCAAAGTTTACGAGACAACCTTCACTCGGTACACTCCACCAGGTTGTCGGTTGTCGCTCAGTCTGTTATTCCAACGATAAACCATGTACATTAGACAACATCAGTGCGGATAATACTTGGAACTTTGTCAACTCCGGGATATTGCTGCGCTGTATATCATTTTGGGTTTGCATTCTGGCGTTTAAAGCAGTACAGTCTGGGTCAATCAATGTGTTCAATATACCATTTCTAGGATCCGACCATCTTTGCAACCACCTGTCTACCGAGATCTTTCACTCCATATTATCTTAGGCAACCCAGTAACGATACCACGTACCACATATATAATACACAATCAAGGAAAATGCCCAAAATTAAAACAAACTTCTCAAACTTGCCTGTTGAACCGAGCGCTGTAGCGATCACCTACTAAGCTTAGCGCACCTCACTAACCATGTTGACTCGGATAGGTATTTACCTCTTGTTCTTCTTCCTCCACGAGTTGGCCACCTCTGGCTATTGCGGTTACCATTCATAGAAGAATGCCGACTGCTACCAGACGCGAGACTCGTAGGTCTTGTCTTGCGCTCACAGCATCTAGAATCAGCTCTTGTCAGGCGTCTTGACTGGGGTGAGGTCGGGACCCTAGCTCTTTTGCTGGAGTCTGGCCTTTCAGCGCCCTCGTGGTTCAAGGTTCTACTACTTGAAGGAGGTAAGTAATTCTGATGCGCGAACTGCTCTTGGCTGCGCACTTGAGGCGTCTGTCGGTTCCTACTATAGGTTCTTCGGTTCGTTCGGCCAGGTAGTGGCATTTGCGATGTATCCTTCTGCTCGTGACAGTTTTCCGAGTCTGGTGCCTTGCGCTTTTCTCTGCTCGTCGATGGAATGTCCGTTTCGAATGTGACTGCTTTTGGCGTTATCGCGGAGTTTTCCATCTCTTCCGGGATGCTAGGAGGCTGGCTAACTGGCTGGCCAGCACCTGGATCCTGGTCCTTTCTTCCTAATGGAGTGCTTTCGCTGGAATGTCCTTTCATGTCCGCTGTTCTTGCAGCATCCTGTTTCTCGGCAGAGCTGGCAGCCATTTGATAAGCCCCATTTGGATCAGCCAGTGTATCAGGTTTTTCAGCAACGATACCTTCCTCCGGTGTCGAAACTAGCGTGGCTGCGAAATCGATCGGAACTTGGTCGGATATTGAACACGCTGGAGATAGCTGCCGAACGCTTGAAAATGGTATAATGTTGTTAGACTGCTGTGAGTCCGGGATGCATGGAAGTTTCACATCAGCCATTTCGAGATTACTAGCTTTCAGGCTCTCCTTGGCTGGAGATGAATATACACTTCTCTGGAAACTCTGTGTTCGATAGATAAATTCTGTCGTTTGGACAACATCGTTTTCCGAGGCTCCACAGCTTCGCTGGGGCGTTGAGGTGATGGATGTACTTTTAGCAGCATCAGTATCATGGCATCTAAGGGCACCTCCATCCGTAGGTTCATTCCTTGTTGTAACTTCTAGGCTGTTCCTCACTCCTACTGGCTGTAGGAGCGCTATCAACCTGTTCCAAGTTTCAGAGAAGGGTTCCTTGGGTGACGCAGCGTCCACCTGGTCAAGTAATTCTTTAATTTTCTTTACCCAGTGTTCCGAATCTTGGACTCGACGAAGCAAAGTGTGTATCTCGGATTTCGCCTTCAACTTACCAGTCTCGAGGCTTAACCTGGCTGATGTTTCCACTGAGAGCTCCGTTTGGATTTTTGTGCATTCTTCTTCCTTCAGCAGGAGGTTTCTCTGAAGTATGTCAAGTTTGTCTTCTGACAGCTTAGATAGTGCACTGCTCTCTTCCCTGACCACAATGAGCTCCTTCTCAAGGGTTGCAGCTTTCTCATTAGCTTCATAGAGCTGTCCTTGCATGCATGACTTCTGCGTTGCGATCGATGTTTCCATTTCTCGAAGTCGGCTGACCTCTGCAGCTTGTTCCGCAAGTGATATCTCTTTCTCCATACACTTGCTTTCAAGGGCTTTTATCTCTTCATCTTTTACTAATAGCTTCTGGGATCAGAGAAAGCCATGTGCTGGAAGTAGTCATGCGCCTACCAAATATTCTGTTTCATTCTGCTTCTTCGTATGTGTTGTTTTACTCTCGCCCTTTGTATTGTCAGCCAATATTCAGGTACTTGCGAACATCGCAGCATACTAGTGCTTTTTGCGCCCCCATTAATTCATCTCGGACTTTTTCAACATTCTTTAGAAGCTCGCCCCTCTCTCTTAACAGTTCATGAATTTGTTGTTCATACTTGACTCTATGCTGATCTCGAGAAATGACGCTGGCCCTATTAAGCTCTTCTCGGATTTTGGATTCTATGGCTTTAACTTCGTCTTGGAGTGCGATTGCCTGTGATTCGAACTTGCTTGCACGGCCTTCTGCTTCCTGGCCCTTCGTAACGGCTTCGAGCAATGAGAGTTTTATCTCTTCGTTTTCAATCGCTTTGCTCCTGAGGCTTTCTTCAGTTGTTCTCAGCTCATCTGATAGTTGCTGTACCCTTAGGTCAAGCTCAACCCTTTCCTTAATTTCTGCGGTTGTAGGCTCGGTTGTTTCTGGTGTTTGCATCTCAGAGAGTCGGGTTTCAAGCTGTTTCATTTGCTGTGCGAAGCTATTCTCTTTCTCCTGGACAACCTCCAAGAAGGAACCGAGTTTATCGATACTCGGTGCACAAGCTTCAAGCTTCTCGTGTAGACTAGTACATGTGACTACATTCGCGGAAAGCCGTTTCAGTAATGCAGATTCACTTCCCATATCTTCCTGAACAGACCGAAGCTGTTCTGTTAGAAGCCGTGTCCTATCTCCATTCACCTTCGAGCTTCCTTCGATGACCGCTGCCAAGTCTTCCGTAAGAGACCTAATTCTGAAGATGATTAGCCATGTTATCTCTCAGAGGGTACATCGAATTATCAGTAACTTACTGAAATGAACATTCTTGAACAGCCACTTTACACTGCTCAAAGTCCAACTTTCCTTGGGCATAATCCTCACCCATGCGCCTAAACGATATCTGAAACTCTTCTAGTACTTGTTCCATAATTGAATGTGCAGATTTATCAACTTGCTTTGCCACAGTTCCAAATCCTGAATCAAGCTTTCTTAGCATTTCGAGCTGGTCAGCCCTGATAAGGCCTATGCTTTTCGCCTGAAGACGTGAGCTGTCCTGTATATATGTCTCTAACAAGGCTGATCTTTTCTTTTCGTCGGATAATCGCCCCTGGACAGAGCTTGTCTTTTCCTCTGCATCCTTCAAAGCCTGCTTCATGGAGTTGATCAAAGTTTGTGATTCGACAAGGTAACATTGGCTCTTCTCAAAAATACTGGAAGCTGGTAACAGCTGCTCCCTTGTCTCAGCAATTGTCCCTTTTATTTCCGCTTTATCTTTATCTAGCGATGCTCTTGTCAGTTTGAGCTGAGTAGTTTCCGCGCGAAGTGCATTGTAACCAGAACCTAGCTCGTTAATGATGTATTTGAACTTCGCTATTTTCGCCTTCCATGCCTGTAATTGAGTTTTATACGCCCTAGACTCCGAAGCCTTTTGCTGTATCTCATTACTAAAGACGTCAAGTTGGTTTTTCAAAGAAAAATTTTCTTGTGTCAGCTCTGAGAGATTGGCCTCCATCTGTTCTTTCTCACTGAGAGCGGCAGCATCATTGTCTTCTCGGGCTTTAATCTTGACAAGTAGGAGTTGAAATAGGTCCTCCTCAGACAGGTCTGCATGGCTGTTACCAGCAAGCGTAAAGGCGGGTTGTCTTGAGGTGATCTTTTTCCCACTCGCTCGACGACGCTTCGATACTCTTGACTTGTCATTCGTAGGGGACAGTGAAACACTTTTCCCGTCCTCGTGTGCTAGGAGCTCAGCAGCACATGACTTCATCAACTTTGCTGTGCACTGTTTGGGTGACTGTGGAAATCTGTCGTTGATCTTGTTTTGATCAGTGTCACATACTTTCGTAGACCAAAGTTATCCTCTTACTTTGTTCTTATTGAGGGCAATTGTCTTTATGGCTGGAACTATCTCAGCGCAACCAGGCAAGTGTAACTGGCCCACGTACCTTGTGGCTCATTTTCCGGTGATAGAAGTTGTCCGTTGGTAACAGATGGAAAAAGAGCGGTTCCTTCACATTGAGCTTGATTGTGTTGCGCGTAATGAACATTGGAGGTGAGGGCATGGTCTATCCTAACAGAAGGATTTTTTTTGCTATCGGCTGTCTCTAAATCTTGAGAAGGGGCTTCTGAAGATGAAGAAGAAGTCCTTGTTACTTGGCGATTTGAGCTGGTTTCTGTATTATTCAACCGAGAAGCAATGTGTCTGGATTTTTTTTTTAGTAGGATAAACGAGAGCCAATGTCAAGTTAACTTACTTCAACTGGTGAGTTTGAGTTGTACCATTGGGCTTTCTGGTTCTATTCTGCTCCGTTTGCGTGATGTTATTGCATTGAGGCGCGGGAATAGCTGAAGCTTGCTTGACTGGTGGATGTAGCGTAAATATCTTTCCATGCTGTGCAGGTCTGGCAAAGGAGAAAGCCGTTAGGTCAATACCAGAACTCCGTGGGCGTTGTACAAGTGATGCTGCGGATGGGATTTGGTCAGCTGTTCGAATTAATTCTGATCCCCTCTCCAGGATTGCGTTAAGATTAGGTGACACAGGTTCAGTGTTGGATCCTGCTATTTGTAGCAGGAGCATCTCTTCATCATCGCCAATTTCATTGGGTTCACTGTCTCTTTCCCTATCGGAGATAGTCGAAGGATCACCCACTAGTAACGGGTCAGTGCTGTCGCTCCCCATGTTGGGTTAGGCTGTGCAGCATGTCCTGCACGCATCAGAGACGCTCGTATTCCCAGTAATCCAAGTCAGCAGACAGGAATGTGGAAGTATGATAAGTGTCAACCGCTTTTCTAGAGTGTGGTTGCTGGTATTATGGATAGAACAGGCTGATGAGACATTTTGTGGTTATGGGGAAGAAAAATAGAGGGCGAAGAGAAGTGGATTCGTCATGGAAGTCCTAGAAGAAAGTTCTCGTGATGAACAGGGGTGCCTCTTTAGGAAGGAACATAGAGCAGCCTAAGAATCATGGCTTCCGGGCGTGACAAAAACCCTATTCTAGATGCGGCAGCATCATCAGCATACCTATTACTACTAGTAGTCGTAATTCCTATCGTGTCTCTACTACTATCATTAAGTATACTTTCGAAAACATATGAATCGTGTTTAATGGGAGCTTGGTTATCGCGCCAGTAGTATAACAATTTACCTTATCTCCACAGACTGTATTTGCTTCTGAGATGAATCTACCCTCTATTCATATTCTGGCTCAGGCAGCGTAAACATACACCTTCTAAGATTAGAACCGCTACGATTCAAAGGACTTAGGTCCATGGAAGATGCTTGCCCCATAAAGAATCAATCTAAAAAAGGATATTTTTCGTCCACCTTGAATTACGCACAGACGTGTGTGGCTGCTCCCCTTCCATTTTGACTATAGCGATCACCCGCTATACAAACGCCAAAACGGTTTATATGGCAAAACCCAAGCAACAAGGCGTTCGACTGCTACCTGAACTGATTTGCAGGGAGCAATTGAAGCCAGCCAAGCGGAGAGTTTGAAATCACATCTCGCTTAAATTCAAACTCCGGCATATCTGCGGTTTCCTCCTCCTGGCGCCTCGGGCGTATCTCTCATTGGTTGCAGCCACGATGCTAAGGGCGGTTATCACCAGGATCAACATAACATCACATCCCCAGTCGTCTCTTGCGAACATGATTCGCTCTGTGAATCCAAATTTAGGTTCTTCAGCACAACTGTATAGACCACTTAATGAGGTAGAATACACCTCCTCATCCTTCAAGTCTTGGGACTGTTGTTGGTACCCTATCACAAGGTTGTACCTGTCATACAGCCTTTTACTTCGTATTCAGGTAGCGCCCACGGACATTGTGCTTGAGCTTGCTATATAGACTACTATTGGCTTCACCGTTGTGTTTTCCACCTAACTATCTTTATTTATCCCTTACGTATACTTTCAAAACAAGAAAAAGCAAACCCGCACTCATAAATACAGTACCAGACCTTGAAGAACTTATCAATTCTTCCCATTTCACTGGGAACCACCGACATGCCTTGGGAAACTGCCTTCTCCTGCATTATCGTCGCTACTCTTACAGCGCAGTCAAGAGCACAGGGACTGATAACCGATGTGGAAGGAGAAGGATATGGTCCAAAGCCAAGTTCCAGCTCAATGTCAGCGGGGATGATCGTGCTATGCGTGGTAGCAGGAATCGTGGTTCTCATCGGAAGTCCGTTTTCCAAAACCCCCATCGCTCCGATCCTAGCTCTATGTTACTTGGGCATGTTTACTGACCCTAGCCACTCTGTAGTCTCCACAACAATTTTGTTCATCGTTGCCAAAAGACGCCAATGGGCAATGCGGGAGGTCATTACACGGTCTGCTCGACGAGCCACCCAGGCCATCAAGACTCCCTTGTCAGCCAGGTTTCCGAGATCTCAGGTCGCGCGAGGCATGGATTCGGGGTTTCCTACCAATCGCGCCGAAGAAAGAAGCCAAAGGCTGGAGGTCAATCCAAAGCACAACGATATAGAGAAGAACTCTCTTATTACGGAAACAGAAAAAGCTAGAAATAGTGGAAACGGTCGGGCGTGGAGGTCACTGTTCTCCTCTGGTCATTCATAGATGAGTGTCAGTTCACTCTCTTGTTTACGAAGTATATGTTTGGACTGCTTCAGGGTATGTTTCTCAGTTTATAGCGATGGCTTATGTATATGTCTGGATTTCGGCGTGCTTGATGCATAGTATCGTGGACTTCTTTTGCGTTGGATGTTTCGGGCTCTAGTATTTCCTTCACTATTCTTAGATTTTGAGATACAATCATTGATACCACCAGTCGAATTGAAAAAAAAAAGCACCCTAAAAAGGAAAGCGATGGTCCGATAGTTAATTGGACAGTTTAGTCATAAAATACAACTACCTCCCAAGATGAACGTCGCCTGGCCAAATTGATCTTCAACCCCAGGTCCTAATACGAACGGACGAGCCAAGACATCTCAACCCTAACACAATGAAAATACGACAGCAAAGCCCACAGCACACGACCCCTACAAAGAAGTCCAAACTAGATCCGCTCTTAACCCCTGACACCTACAGATCTAAGAATTCCGTAGATCGAAAGGTCATTTCCCCAAAAGAGTGACATGCATTAGCCCGAGGCACTTGCTCACTTCACATTGCTTACATTACATCTAATCCCTTCATCAATTTCCAAAAATCGCCACCCCAATCTACTCTAGCGAAGGGTTTCCCGCACGTTGAGATTATTCATGTACCCACAACATCCACTTCAATGCAACCTTTCCCAGCCGAAGCAATATACAACCCATTATTGTACGTTGTGGCACTCGCTTAATTGCCACCTCATCTCGATTATAGATTATTCAGAGAAACGGTGATCAACGTCGACAACGACGTACTGAATTTGTCCGACAAAACAGTCCAATTCAAGAACTACACATTCTGCGTCAAGCATACCAGAGCAACATGCCATTGACCAGAAACTCCATTACAGGGCCAGGGATCCTTCAAATCGAATATAGAACAAGATCTCACCTAAGCACGGCCAGCTCTCGACGTAGAATCAGCAACAGAATTACCTGAGACGAGCCCAAGAAGCGGCTGGGAAGAAGGAAAAATTAATAAAAAGAAGAACGGGGGGAAGAAAAAGGGAAAAAAAAAAAAAAAAGAAAAGTTGAGCACGGAAGCACTGACAAGC